TTGATTGTTTTTAATGTGATGCCAAACTGAACTGTTTTAAGACATGACTTTTTATGCAGGAGAAGCCTGTGGTGGACTTAGTTCAAAACTCTGGGAAGGAAAACAGAAAACAAACATACTATCACACTGAGGCCTTGAACTTCTGCAAAAAGTTTCCTCAAGTTTACTCATGTTTCCAACTTATTCAACAATGGCACTAAAAGGCTAATAAGTTTATTTCACTTTGATTTTTATCAGCAGATTGATGCTGCGGAGCCCATGGAACAAGATGAGGTTCTTAAAGGTAAATTTGATAGTATATAATTGTCCGATGTTTTCTTTGTTAAGAATAGAAAAGAAATGTATCATATATTTTTACATTTGATACCCCCCTAAGAGGACGCATGTTGTGAGAAGATATTTGGTGATTCATTGGCTGATTAATTACATGATGGTCATCAACCACCCCTTGACTGCATATAGTTGGCATATGCTCTAGTTTCAAAATTAGGTGATGGTGGAGATTTCAGCCTACCATCAGGTGATTGTTAGTCGGCCATTGGTGGTCTATAGATCTGGGTGTACATGTATTGACCATAATTGATCGAACATCAACTGACATTGATCCAGTATTAAGCATTCGACGTATATGATTTAGATGAGGTTACCTTTGATATCATGATTATGCTGTCTTACTTAAAGACTCCTCCCATACTTTCAATTGTTTCTTTACCCAATTTTTAAGTTTTAATGATGATTACCTATAAGGAGAATCTGTTGATTGGCCATCAAATTAGCCATTCTCTCATAACTTTTATCATTTTCTTTAGATTTGCATCATCTAAAAGAAGTTAGTTTTTGCCTAAAAAATATAATCTTGCTTTACCAGAAAATTCCATATTTGTTAGAGATGAAAATGATGTTGCTTTTATATCACTGAAAATGGGAAAAGCTACAACCGCCAAAATCAAGGAGGAGGTATGTTATGTAACAAAGTCTTAGGTTGGTGACTTGGCCACTTATGAGCAGGATTGATTATTATCATAATTTATTACACTTCTTTAGTGTAGTTGTGTTATTTTTTAGATTTGCAGGCAAAGAGGCCTGAAAAATTCCTGTGGGGCTCGAGCCCCTGCCTCCAAAATACTATTTGGGCACCCTACCAACTGAGCTGTGGAGCCTTATGTTGGGAGGGGGAGACATTTTACTGGGTCCATCAAACATAGTTCAGGTTATACAATAAGCATCATTGGGAATTCTTTTCATCTGGTTTTCCATTTCACTCACTGAAATGGTTGTGTGGTGTACCATTGGTAGCTGACTCAGATTCTTTATCTGAGTCATGATATATTTGCAACTCAGCCTGATCTTTTCATTGGATTTTCAGGTTACTGAAAGATTTAATTTGACAGATGATGCAATTGAAGATATTGAATTTGATGATGGTAGAAAAAGGTAGGTTTAATGGCAAAGGTACATGTCTTAAGGGGACACTACCCAAAAATATTCAACAATGATATGATATCTATTATGGGAGACACAGTTTTGTGTGCACGATCAAGTACTAGCCACCAGTTATTCCTCCCTGAGAATAAAACTAGCCTTTACTAAAATTAATTCCCCTGTAGCCACGTGTATGATTGATTCATTTGAGTTACAGAATCAGAGGAAGGATTTGTCAGAGAAAGTCAGAGTGGTGTAAGAGAAGAGAAGGGAAAAGTTGAATAGAATTTTGGCAGAGAACAGACATTAGAAAAGACGGAAAAGGACCTCTCTAGACTCCTTAGTTTCCCGCCAAGTATGGCATCCGCTGCCACTAGTTTTCCCCTAACATTACTGTTACTGTAATAACTATCAACTGTCCCCTTCATGATCTACTTCTTCTGGAAGTAAACAACAACATACAAGCGACTAATGGCTTATTGCTTGTAAAAATAGGTATTACAGTGAAATAACAAGAAAATTACTTACTTCAGCTAGAGGGGAATGACTTTTCTTTTTGAAGAGCGCCCTTAATTTACAAGCCCAATTATGTTAATAATCTTTTGCTGCCCGTAACATGGCATAAGTTGTTTTTCTGCGACATACTTTTCCTTTCTCTAAGGAGAGGCATTGACTCTAAAATGAAATTTATTCACGAATCCAAAAACTACGATGATATTTGAGGGGAGATTGTTTCTGGATTTGTTTTCGTGTTTTCGTATGAATAGTTTATCATGTGACCCGTACGGCCACATAGAACACCAAATTGAAAGCTGACGTTTGTAAGGCCAAACGAGTTGACGTGACACATTGTTCGCCATTTCTGGTATATATATGATCCCTCTGATATCCCATGTGGGGATTGAGAGGCGTTTGTGATGTTTTATCGTTGTCTTTGTTTCAGCATCAATGTCAGAAACGACGATGGTACTCTTCAGAAAAGGAGTGTAAGACATGGAGACCGTCTTTTCATCTTAAAAAGAAAAGCCGATGGGCCGAAGCCATACACCCTCGTTGAGCAGGGATCTATATAAGTTTTTTTGTGGAATTCAGAAAACCATGAAGACTAGAAATGTCTATGAAATGTCAGTGTCTTTTATTCAGGCAACGGTTACTAGTTTGTGGTGTTGAGCTTCGCTCGCGTGTCGTACACTTTTTTTTGATTTGTTATTCTCAATTGACGCGTCAGAATCAAATCAAAGTGTTCATGGTTTTCTGAAATTTACGGTAAAATGTAATAAAGACCCGGTCTATAGGTCGAACTTTCAATGGGCTTAATACCACAGGTGACCCAAGTTCGCACAATAAGCCTTCGTAAATATGCAAATATTTTTACGTTGTGCCATCGGCTAAAGTAAGAGGATTTGTATGGTCGCATTTTTAACCTAAAATTTTGAATCAAAACAAACCCACTTTGATTATGAGTTTTTTGTTCGTTCGCATCTTGTGAGTTTTCTGTGCTGATTTAAGGCCGTTTAGCTGTGTTTTTCTTCTTCTGTTTTGCCCTCAATGTGATCCTTTATAGAGGACAGAGAAGATGAATGTAAACCAAGCTAAACGGCCCTAAATCATTGTTCGGTCTGTGAGTCAACAGGCCTTTTTTTTCCTAAAACTTGAGTTGATCCAAATTAGAATTAAGTATTGCTCTTTAAAGGTTTGACGTTTAAGCCGGGCGAAAGCATTCTATGACTAGATTGTCATAGTTAGTGTTTTCACTCTAAAAATATTGTGTCTGGGTCTGTCCTCCAGTAGGTCATAAGTAAGAACTACTCAAAGTTCGTGCGTAATTCAGCCTATTATATCGTGAGCCATTTTGCACCTAAAAATGCTGATAAACAAAGCTAGTTATCATTTTGTTTCCCGATCGTTTAGTGTGATCATCAGGCTGGAAGTAGTTTTGACAATTTTACTTTAATTGTCAGTTGTATGTGCAGGGACCGCGCAGAGGGAGGGGTGGCGGAGGGGCTTTAGCCCCACTTTTTCGCAAAAATAAAATAAATTAGACAAAAAAATAATTTAACAAAAATAACGTAGCCAAAAATTGCCCCCCCCCCCCAACCCAAAAAATTGCTGCGCGGTCCCTGATGTGTGTAGTCTGGTTTGTGAAAACTGATTGGCCAGTTTTGCCTTGAACTAGTTGATGTAAGGCTCGATTTATTGTTGAAAGAGGTCCTCAATAGATGAAAAAGGGGAAGTCGAGGGTTCAAGCCCCATACCGGACCAAGACTCAGGGTCTTAAAATAACTGAGGAGAATGTGCTGCCTTTGCGATGACATCTGCATAAGGTTAGACATTCTAGTCTTCACGGATAAGAACATTGTATATAATTGATGTAGTGCACTTCTCCAGCAACTTCCCTAGTGAAGGAACACTAACACTTGCTTTGCACGCATGTAGCTTTTAAGTAGTAATAGTTTTAGCTGTAGAGCAATAAACTAAACAATAAAGACTACATAGCTGATTAATTTAATTTGCGCTTGAAAATTTTTCAAAACCTCAAGGGCTCCCATTAATGATTGAAATAATCAAGTGAGGTCAAGTTTGGTCGTTGATTCTCCCCAGGGTAGTAAGGTATAGATGTTTTTCGGAGTAACAGACTAATAAAGAAATTACCTTGTCTCGAACTCAAACTTAAAATGTTCATGCCCGCATGGGTCAGTCACAGCTGGATCTGGTATGAGAAATGCTTTCCCACCGTAATGAAAAAACCATCAGAGTGAAGAAGGCCCAAACCGTAGACTCTCTTTTCATTTCCAGCTCAAAGTTGCAGTGCTCACTCCCTGGTAAAGCACCCACGCCCCTTCCCCTTCCTCCATTTTTTCTCTCTTGAGTAATCTTGGGAGTAGCGTAATCTTGAAAAAAAATTACATGACCGGAAAGCTACGTATAAGAAGTTCATACACAAACTCAGAACTATATTACCCGTAATCAAGCTTGAAAGCACATCGCAAAGGATCACAAATCTTGTTGGCTGCCATCTTGTTTGCGCAGACGCATGTAAAAAGTTGTATCCTCTAGCAAATATACGATCGACTGAGAACCACCTGCTGATAATGATACCACACTTAAAGAAGCCAGTTGACGATTAAAAATTGTCACTAGATATTTATTTCCTTTTTACAACCAAATTGCATGAAACAGTGAAACTTTTGCTGTAGTTTGCTTTTAAAATATGTCGCAATTTTTTTTTAAAGATGAGCCAAGGAGGAGTCAGAAATTTGTCAAACATTGTCCAAAAAATAACAGTAATATATCGGTTTCTCCCGCAATCAATCGCCTAACAATACAATGAACAGCAGGTATACTTCCCACTTCAATGCACTCAGGTTTTTGCGCCAAATTTCTGTCTGTTTATTTATCCCATAAAATAGCAGAGAGCGAAATCTTCATTACCGTTCCCGGAACCCTCGCAGAAGGTTACGACATAACAACTAAGTGAGATCAGTGAATTAAGTTGACATACTATCAACTCCGAACAATGATGTCCCACCAATTTTGTTTCTTCGCCAAATCGAGTGTTCACGGACGGTTCTAAAGGAATGCTCGTTAAAAGTCGTATTGTTTATGAATGTGCTTTGTGTCTGTGGACTTTAGCAACATTCATCGTTACAGCGCCGGGCATCAACGAGAAGTTTTTGGAAACGACAATGGTCAAGAGCTTGTTTACATGCCAGAGGATCATGGATGAAAAAACTTGTCGGGAAGTGTTAACCTACGAGATTTTTTATCGACTGTTTCTGGTTATTACAGTGTATCATTTCATTCTTGCCTTCATTCTTCTACCAAACTTCCCTGCTATTCGTGAACGTCTGCATAATGAGTGCTGGGTTTTCAAGCTTCTGTCTCTCGCTGCTATTAGCATAGGAGCTCTCTATATACCTCAACACAGTTACTTTATCGTTTACTTTTCGTATGTCGTGCTAATTGGCAGCAGCCTATTCATCATGTTTCAGTTTTTTCTGTGGGTAGACCTTGCAGAGGCCTTGGGTGCTTGGGTCACAGAACAGCAAGAAAAGGGATCCAAACGCAAAACATCTTTTAAAGTTATGCTTGTACTGTTGATTTGTAATTCCTACTTGTTATTAGCCGTCAGCCTTGGTACTGTTGCGTACATCCTTGTTGTAGCTTCAATCCAAAATTGTATATGGAATGATATCTTCATAGTGCTAATCCTTGGAGCAAGTTTCATATCCTTTGGCATCTCATTGCATCCTCGAATAAGAACTAACATTCAAACAGCAGCTGTAATCCTGCCATGCGCAGTAGTGATATTTCACTCAGTCTTTGTCATGGTTTTAGCACTTACTATACAGGGAGGTCGCGGATGCAATCTTGAAGGAACTTTTCTCTCAAGGCAAAAAATTTCCACTAGAGTACATTTGAAAAGTATTACAGCTTTATCTCTGATGCACGCAGCAATAGTCTACGAATGTTTACGCAGCAGTAGAGACTCTTTCACGCTTGGACTTCTGAAAGATACAAAAACAGATGAAGAGCACCTGTCTTACAGTTATTCAGTATTTCATTTTCTTATGTCCACAGGATCCATGTACACGCTGGCAACTCTAACAAACTGGTACGGACCAATCATAAACCGCTTTTCTCAGAATGATAAATCTTCGCTCGTGGGACTACAGGCGGACTGGAAACTAGCTCAAATAGTTACCATGGTGACAAGCTGTATGCCCCTGTTATTGTACATTTCTTTCATGATCTATGCTATATTGACACTTGACCCGCACATTCAGTCGCAAGTTTTATCGGGGGGCTCAATATATTTACCATTAGAACCAAAAGCCGGTTGTGAGGTTGCAAACCGCAAAAACTACGTTGAAAGTATTCGAAATGGGGCTTTGGCAAGTTCAGGTGAAATTTTAAGAGTTGGAAAGTCAAAACAGGAATATCCTTCACAAAAACAGGGTACTAACTTGCTTGTGAGGTGCGAAAGAGTTCGAGACACTTCAGTATTCTTCTACCACTTTCCGCGAGAAATATGTCAGTCCTATTACGGAGGTAGAAATGGTAGTAATGCTTGTACTGTGATTGCTGTGTTGATAGCGAAGGCGTTTTGCTGTAGTAATCTTGATCTCCTAGAAACAGACCTCCTTGACGAAAGTTGGATAAACTTATACAGCAGTTGCATCGCTGAGGGCAATAGACTTTACGATATGGTTATTAACTTGAAGAAACAAGGCGCTATTTATTTGTCGGTGGAGGATGTAGTCGAAGAATTTGGGGAAATGCTTCAAATAAAAAACCTCGGCTTCTCTCTTCCCGTCAGTTTTGTTTCGGAAACGGAGACAGCAACGGTTTCGTATCAGCTTGAAAGACTGCGGAAATTTAACGAAAAATCAGCAGTAATCTTCATCAAGGATTCCAGATCTGGGGTTTTTCTCTTCTTCAAAGACGGTCCCCTCCTATTTGCTGATAGCCATCCTTACGGATCCGGAGGGGCGCTGCTTGTTTGTTCGACCAACGTTAATGAGTTGGTGATGTATCTGGCTGAAATCCTTCGCGTGACTTCATTAAAAGGCCTCGGTGCTCTCTTGCCAATTTACTTTTAATCATTGATAACAAATTACTTCCCGACGACTGGCAAAGACTTTGAGAAAGGGTCGTATATGCAATATATTAAATATACATACCGTTGAAAAGAGGGAACAAACTACCAGGGTGAGTCGCTAAAGGGTAAGGCTGCGAAGACGCTGGATACTCAGCTAGTAATTCGATAACAGAAATTTTTGCCAATCTCGAAGTGAAACATTTGAAATAGACATAGAGAGGTTTAAAACCCAAAGTGGACGGGAACAGAGAAGATTTCTAAGTAATAGACTCAGCCTTGGGACAGTTCAGACCTCCTACAGTATCATACACAGCTCAGCCTTGATGTCCCTGGGCCTGTTTACTTATACGCGAGAACCTCTAAGTCTTCATGTAAAATGAATCTTTTGCTCCTTTCGTCATCAGTGAAAGAGTTGAGAAAAATCAAACATCGACTGGTCTACTTTTTACCCCAGATAGAACGGCATAATCCGTTCAGTGTTGGAAAGAATTTGACTGAAGTGAAAGCTGAGCAAAGCAACACAGGTTATTTGATAAGCTCAGCCTCACGAGATGGCCTGGAGGGCGACTTTTTCTTTCTTCAGCTACCTTAGTGTTCATAAACCGCAGTGCGTCTATTTTGGTAATAGGTTGCAAAACAAAAGAACGGAGAAAATTAAATAACTAAGCAAGTTCATTATCAATTCCTCTTTTGTTTTGAGCAATTTTTATTAATTCGGTCATGTATGCAAACGAAGGACTTCAGATCTCGTCCGCTCGCCAAGCAAAACTGAATAACAAGGGAAAGATGCAATACAAATAAAATTAAATTAAAAAAGACTTCTGAGATTTTCTGCATTTCCACGCAATGTGTAGAAGTCGACTAAGGCGCGTGTCTCAAGCAACACTTCGTGTGACGTACAAATCGTACTCTAAAAGTCACGCGCGAACGCGCATTAAACGAGAAAATAAACAAATCATTATCAGAACGTGTTGGTCAACATATTGACGAAAGAAAACGAGCAAAACAAGCACACTTACTCACTTCATGACCCATTTTCAATGTGGTTCATACATTTCATGACGAATCACTGGTATTTTGGGAAACATTCCTAGTTGTCTAAACTACTTTAAATTTCAAATTTAACATAAATCGTATTTTAATTGGCTTATGTCACAGAAGGTTCTCTCGGCATTCTTGACATGTTTTTCTCAGTTACCCACCAACATCGGGAAAACAAAGGGAATACTTTAAAAGAAATCATAGTTTCTTTGTTTGATCGGTAAAGAAGACGTTTCCCCTGAGATTCGGTACGCAGACGGTAGTATTGTTTCCACACAGTTCATTCACCAAGCTATCCTTTGTGTTCACGCACCACGAAGTGGCTTCGAGATAATTGCGGTAATGAAAACTAAAGTCAACAGTAAACAGACAGTGCTTATTCGCTTGCGAGTTAGCCCTTGACCTCACTGACAAAGCTACTCAATGATCCATTGAGGTTCAAACGTGATTTCGTTACCAAATCGCGGATTCCTTTATGTTCATGGTGTATCATTTCGTTTGCGTTGCTATGAACAATTGAATGGTGAATTCAGGAAAAATTACAAACAAGATGAGAACTTTGACGAGTGTAAAGGAAAGGCACATCATTAATTTGGATTTTATGGTTGGTAGCTGCTGTGAAATCGAATCAAAAACCTCGTTGGAAACCACAACGATTTGCAACGCTTGAAGGTAAGCTGAACGACTCGTGTAAACATACATTCCATTTCAATGTACCCGGCTGATTTCATGACTTTGTGGGTAAATAACATTCACGTCAGACCGAAAACTAACTGAACTTTAGGTAACACTTTGCTTTGTAAACTTTGAAGTTTGATGCTAATATATGAGTCGAGTGAAGACTTAAGAGCTTAAATCTCCTGTCTAAAGAATTCCTTCCCCGTGAAACCCTTCATAGGGGCCTCATTTCGATTTTGTACAGTACTAAATAGCCTTCCCTTAATTTTCTCCATAGGAAAACAGTTTGATCTTCAAAATGGCTTACGAAAAATCGGTCATTAACATCAACATTAACTTTGAGAGTGACGAGCAGTTCATTCCTCATCTACCGAAGCCGTTTCTGGTGAGAAAAGATCGCGGTAAAGGTAAACTTGGTACAATTCAACCAAGTCACGAAGCACAAAGGACTGCAATTGAAATACATAAAAGAGTCATGGAAGTTCAAAGATTTCGCCGTGACAGTCAAAGTGCTTTGGAAGCTCCTCTGTTAGTTACGGCTCTTATAAAGAAAACTCACCAACGGCTCGACACCATTCAGGTCAGTACTAGCTAAATTCTTCACCGAATTAACTGACTGACTTAAAATTTACAACTTCATTAACCGGGATGTACTAGCCAAACGCGCCGAGTTGAGAGTCCTACATCTTATCATGCACCAAAAACTTTGATCAGTCGTCGTACTTGTTATTTTTATGGCGGAGTGAATGAAAGGGAGGCAAAAGAAAAGGTCACAAATATTAAAAGTTCGTTTTAACTTTGTCAACTGACAGAAACTCATGCGAGTAATTTATACGACGATGCAAATCTACAAGACAGAGCAACAACTGCCTGCCCTTACGATTGCTTGAAAGTATCAAAAACCACTCCTCTAAAAAGTGTTCTAAAATGAACCAAATAGCGTCAGAATGTGTTTTAGAGATCCTCCTTCGGCCCACTATAATACTCGTCCAATCACTGCTGACACTGGCCCCCCTTACTTCAAAATTCTTTCCTATGTGCCTGCTGTATAGAAATTTCTGGTCGCTTATAGATGCTATTGTAGTGTCCCTGATATGCATGGGTGCGCCTCTCTTTCAAGGGTGGGGCGGGGGGGAGGGCACCTAAATTCAAGGAAAACCATCTTTGTCCCCTACTCAGTGAGAGTATGTGCGTTTTAGGTAGGAGAGGCAGGTAGTTTTAATGGAATATAATGATATTCAGCTAAACACTGCTTTTAACCTAGCCGAATTGAGCCTCGAAAAACAATTATTGATGTAAAAGTCATTTTTTAATATAAAATCAAAAAAGTCTCATGGCAATTCTGTGAATTTTTAGGAGAAAAGTCAGTTACATCTTACGGTAAGTTTGCCAGATTTTCTATGTTTATAAAATGAAGCCAAATAAAGTAGAAAACTGATAATTAGTGGTTTTGTTTAAATGCATACTTCTCTGCGGTTTTTGATGGAATACACCGTTAACATGATTTACATTCTTAAAACAAATCGTATTCTTAAATAGCTCCTCCATCAAACAGCACAATTAAGTCAACGGGAGGAAAACAGACCGTAAATGACTTATTGTTAAATAAGGCTTCGTGATCATCTGCTGTTGCGGTTTACAACAGAGATTAGCCGTGTGGGCGTTTTATAATATTTGTTAATACTTGCGGATAAGTTGAAAGACCACCTAAGTCGTGTTAATTTGCCGTATTTAAAACAGCGATTGAACAGTTTGCATAATTAAAATCACAGTTTCCGTGAAGCAAAACAAACCGACACGAAATTGGCACAAAGCATATTCACCTGCGCAAATATTCTTCGATAAATGTTCCTAGGTCAGAATATTTACCGACACTCAGCTCAGTTTAGTAGGTCAATGCAAAGGTTTTTTTGAGAAAACTTGTTTCTGAACATGTTTTAGTCCCGAAGCGTCTTCTAACATGACGAAAACGGTAAGACAGTTTTAACTCAATTACCTCTATAACAATGTCTAATGTTGCTCATCGGAGAGAATTTTTTGTAAACGAAACAGGAAGTTTTTATGAAACTTTCGCCGATAACAACCGTCTCAGAGAAATCTATTTTCAAATCCTACAACTGATAGGTCTTTTTTCTCTCTTGTTTCGTAGCCATTGGAGAAATTCATCTGGGCAGCACGGGTGGTTCATGTTTTAGTTTCGTCTTGCATGAGATGGAGAAGGTAAAATAGTTTCTGTTAGAGTCATCGACTGACTAGAAATCCTACTAGACGAAATCATTTAATATGTTCATCTATATTTTTTTTGTAAAGACGTTATTGTAATATCTAACACTTAGTTACGGTAAATTCTGGATTCATCCCTAAGTTTGTTGTTTTATTTCACATTTTTCGGGGATATTGATAATAACTGATTGTTTTCAATGCCAATATCTTTTATGCACTCCACAAGTGCAATAGAAGTGACCTTTCAGATTTGTGTAAATCAAATGTCGAGAGAAAATAAATACTGATTCGTTCTATGCCATTTACACCTTTTCCTTAACTGACAAAAAGTAAACATTTTCATTTCGCTATAGTTAAGTTGAAAATTGATTTTCATTGTTAAATAAATTTCGCACTAAAATGATCGAGGTTTTATGAACGAGCTTGTGAGTCAAGAAAGTTATACCGCATTTAGTACAGTAGGAATGGGCGAGAAAAAAACAGCTCAGTGAGACTTGAAACTGTCAATTTTGATTTCCTTCAGAGATAACTATTATACACCAGTGTGAGTGGATATTATTCTTCAAAAACAATTAAGCCTAAGTTCTATTGTGTAAAAGTGAGACATTCGGTTTCATTTCAGCCTCTAACTTTGATCTGAGAAGATAAGCCAATCTCAGGAAGCGAAGCAGAAGTCTCAAAAATCTTCATAATGGAATTAAGATTTTAAAGATCTGACGTTTTGAAACCAATGAATATAATTTTCGTTTGAATCTGGTACAGTAAAAAAAGACTCTTTTCTTATTTATGCAAAGATACAAGAAACCAGATGGAAGTACCAAAAGTAGACAAGATTCAGCTGACTCAGGAGCAAGAAAAGGAAGTCAGAAAAACTCTGGAATTGGTTTTGATACAAGAGCATTCAAAGGGAAAAGTAAGGTACGTATTCAATGACGACACTGAAATAACAACACATGTAACAATCGCCGCACATCGAGACATCAATTTAAACAGAGCGATTAAACATTTGTGCATGTGCGTACGTTGTAATAGCACGCAAGATGGCGTGCTTTCGGGCTGTCAGAATCAAATTGTCGCACAAGGTCTATAAACCGCACCAGCCGGTAAGTCACGGTGTTTTAAAACCGTCTAGATTTTTTGATGAAACGCAAAACAAAATGGCGAATCAAAAAGATGAGCTTTGTGTCTGCAACGTTATGCGGAGTTTTCCTTTTCCTTACTAATTTTTCCTCGCGTATTTTGCCTGACGGCATTTTGTATTTCAATTTTCCTTCGAGATTTTGCGTAGGAAATTGACACGCAACGTTTGATCGCTGCGCTAAACTTTACGGGACAAATGTGAGATTAAGATGGCTAAACAATGAGCCATAAAGCATCCCTTTTTGATAATTTGTTCGTTGCACCAATTCCCTTTAATTTTTTTCGCCAAGTTCTCGCGCCCTCACGTCAGTTTGTTCCTTCGAAAACCTCTGAGACAAATGTTCATAAAATAAACGTCTGCCTTGATAACAACCAAATGCTACCATTTTTCTTGCGGGGGATCTCCCCTGAACTGAGATTTACGGTAATTTTTAACTGCCACTTTCATATTTCTTAGATCTCCGATGAACTCCGTCAGATTTTAACATCCATACCTCGAGTGCGAACAAATGAAGGGCTTAAGAAGGTACTTGACGACTTGTGGGTTTGTCTGTGACCTGATATCAGGTTAATTTTTATTAATTTAATTTAAAACTGTCTTCTTCTCAACTTGTAATACCTCATCTCCTCTTTAGATCCAGAGACTTTGTCGGAGTACGCGTGCGTTCATGATATTTCCGCTGGAGAGAGAAAGTGATCTGTCCCGCCTCGTTGGATATGAACGGTGAGTTTTCTAGGAGGAAACCAATGGTCACGCTATTCGTAGAACCTGACTGCATCTCCACACAGGAATTAGTTATTGAAAGGAAATGTATTTCGATCTTTTTTTTTTTTTCTCATTCGTTTAGCTTTCCCCTAGTTCAACTTTTGCAAGAAACTATCAAAAATGTTTTGATCTTGCAATGAGAGTTCGATTCATAAAAAACAATAATACAAAAACACGAGGTTTACCTGTTCGGCTAATATTTTATGGAAACGTTTCCCCAGTGATTCTCAATTTATCCTTCACTCAACTATCCTGGAAATCGTCCAATATTTTGGAACCAGAGGTATAGCCTTTGTAATTCCAGTAGTTGTTCTGAACGCCACAATAATTTTTAGCTGCATTGTGATCTAATACCATTTCCCTCTTTCTTTTTATTTTCTTTCCATCGTCATTTCAGATATGACAATGGTCGAGTACTTGCCTGTCAGGGGAGAATACCGGAGAGATTTTATTACGTCCTCTCAGGGAGAGGTATGGGCTGTTTCTCTCAGAGAAGACTTTCTATATCGATTCTGTTCGATTTGAAATCTGCATTCATATGTAAAGTCCGTCACTAGCTATCGACAATGTAATAGCACGAGATCTTCAGACCAAGAACTGACCATAGTGAAGCAAAATCACCACGATCCGCATTTCCCTCCACGTACACTTGATAACCGCTCTAAGCAAATGTTTTATTAGACACATTCACCAGTACCCATCACGCCTTGATAGCTCGCGTTCTTGCGCTTTGGGTAACTTGCTTGTTTTGGCTTTGAGGTCTCATCGGCTCTTTGTAATACTCCCCTCAGTTCATTGTGGTTGCTCGTCTCATCTCAATATCTCAAAATCAATTAACTCTATGTTGGTAACTCTAAATATCATTTTTTCATTATCTAGTTAGTAAAGTTTGTGTTTATGATCTGGCTGCTGGTGTTACAAAGATGTCTTTCGGGGAGCTGATGCAAGGAAATACAACCGATGTAAGTTTGTCAAAACTGTTATAGACCGTATACGTAGGTAGGTATACATACTGACAATTTTATTAACAGCGTGGGCCAGCCTCGCGCTCAGTTGAGACGAGCGAAAATAGGCGGGGCTATCCATGTTTTTTTTTAATCGCTCGCTCTGTTTTTGCTCGTCCTCGCAAACTGAGGGTCTGGAACGGAGCTTTCAGTTCTTGGAAGAATAGAGTGAGAAAACGCAAGTATTCTATATCCTTTATAATTCTTGACCCTTTTGTGTTTATGTTTTTTTTTTTCTGGCCAAAATATTTGAAGCAGCTTAAAACTAATTAGGATTATGTAAAAAAAGATTTAAAAAAACGCCGAAAGCCCGACTTTGTAACGTTTGAAATTGGTCAGAATTACTGCAGCGGAAGGAAATTAAATGTGTGAACTAGTATGTTAATTTTCCGTCTTTCTCTAAGCCTGTGGAACTGATGAACGGTACAGAAAGAGAACATTCTCTGATATGCAAAGGACCTGTTGAAGTTCTCGTGTTAGACAAAGAGGTAAGGTACCAAAACGAAAGCTTAATTATTTTCAAATCAGAGAGACATTTTTATTTCTGTTGAACTCGAAAAGAATAGTATGATGGACTAAAATGATTAAGGGAAAAAGGTACTTTGTTTCGACGAGCTTGAACTTGGCTCAACAAACAGAAGCCCATGTTATAGCGCACGTACACAATATAAAGTAAAAGTGGTTTTACTGCTTTAAAGTCCTTTGTTTGATTCTATTTCGCAAATTACAAAAATCCCTTCGCTTCCTTTGTGAAAATTCTGCCGACGGGTAAATGAAATAAACAGTCTTAGTCATAAAAGGATAACAAAGTGACAGCTCTTTTCAGTGGAGAAAATGAATCTGTGATAACAAACGAGAAACAAGAGGATTATTGGGGCTTTTGTTTTGGGAAAGGAATAATAGTTGATAAGTTTTTAATTATACACCTCTTCCGTTCCTTTTCACTCAGAGGTCACGTTTTGAAGTAAAAGAATTTCGTAATAATTTATTTGGGTATGGAAACGCAAAAGACAGGACTGTGAGTTTTTCCGCGTTTCGTTCCTTGATTACAGCTATAATGGGCTTGTTTGTTCATGTGTAAACGTTACGGGTAATTAGTCGTTCGAACAACAAACACTTGATTAGGCTTTGAGCGAATCATTCATTATAATAATGTTTGAGCGCAGGACTCCATAACTACGAGGAAAACGAATATCAGTGAATGACAATATCAGTGAGACTCTCCGCTTGGTAAACAAAACTGTTCTCAGCGTCTTTACTGGCGGGCTGTTGATAAAAAAAAGTGTCGTTTGTGGCGAGAGTTATAATTGAAATATTGTTGCAGGATTTCATGGAACTGATGAATACAAGCCCGGACAGCGGACTGCCGATTGAAACATTGAGGTAATGTTGACTTACGAGGAACTTGCCAAAAGTCAGTCATCTCAATAAATTTGAACGCACATTTTGAAACAATAAGTGATCACGCACGCTCTAAAACTGTGACAAATATTCGGGTAAAAGGCAAACTTTGAATAAAACGAACAATTCATTTTGCATAATTAATCTCAGAGTTGTTGGACTTTGCGGAAGAATATTTCATTTCTAGAATCATGAGTTCCTTGAATCGATTATGAATTGTTAAGTTTCTAAATATCACACCCGCGAGTGAAACTCTTTCAAAAGCAAATGGAAACTTTAGCTCTGAAATCATGATTTTAACGAAGTAACTGAAAGAGCTTATGAATTTGCTAAGTATTTATCCTTGTCTATTAACGATTAGTGAAAGCCGGAAACTTTTTCCTTATATAGTAAGGTTCCGAGGCAATTCACTGCATTCATCAAAATCAGTTCCACCAGAAAAAGCAGTAAATGGACCAGGTGCAAAAGCTGAGCCTGCCACGAGTCCCCCTAGAGCTCAGTGGTAGAGTATTTAAAGCACTAATCGGAAGGTCGTTGGTTCGATCCCCATCTAGTGGGACCACTCGGAGTTCTTTTTCTCCGAGTATGCCGGTGTAACTCACTGAATAGCATCTTCTCTCTGATCTTGTGTCTTTGAAGAAGTGTCAATTCAGTAATAACATTAGAGAAAGTGCAATTATGCAATTCTATTAAACTGTCGGACGCAGACTCGACGACGTTCCGACCTTAATCGCGTTCAAGAAGCGAAGAAAATATGCCCTTTTTTTACATAGCAAACTGTTAAGAAAACAAGAATTAAGCCATTTATAGGCAATTTATTTCTATTTTTCTTCCAATTAAGGTCAATCGAACTCTTTCGAAACTTTCCGCTGGAAAAGTTTCTAGACGACAAAGACGCCATTATGACCAAATACTTTGCGTATGTATTCGTTGCATTCGTTTTTATGACACGTAGTGATGATGACTAAAATCTAAATTTTCCTCAGCTGTTGATCATTCTTTCATAAGAACAGCTGAATACATTGAATAAATAATTAAATCTTCGTGAATTACTTATTTTTCTAGCTACTTACCTGTAAATTTGACTTATTTCCTTTAGTAAAGAAGCAGTGATTGTTAAAGACAGTAGTGATACACCATTCTTCTACATCGTGAAATCAGTAAGAACAGTTATCATTCTTATGATTAAAGTAAGTCAGATATCTCAATCTGCTCGCACCAAGTTTGTTGCCTTGCTTCTGGGGCTTACACCAACATTAAGACATTCTTTCCCTGTGAAAGGTAAAGAGCTCAAACGGAATAGAGTTTTTTTTTTCTTCTTTTATTCCCTTCAAAGATATTACAGCCATCTCTCTCTCTTCTCTCCATCCTTTCCCATATCCTAATCTCTCCCGACCACCGACCCAATTTTTACTATTTCCCTCTTCCCTAGGCCGTCCCTCCTTCCCCCCTTCCCCCCCCCTTCCCCCCTTCCCCTCCCTCCCCGTACAAATAATGTTCAGTCGTTCCTTTCTTACCACTTGACATGTTGCGTGTTTCTCACAGGGGAGGTGTAAGGTTGTTAGAAAGCAGGAAGTGTTAGATATGAGCAAGACAACAAAGCTTCCCAGCATTACCACAGTGACGAGGAAATCTCCACGTAAGTTACATCGATTTAAATCTCTTTGATAATGATATTGTGCCTTTGTATTTCCTTAGTTTCGTGAGAAATAAAACTTCTGAAATTGCATCAAATACCAAAATTAAAGGACTATCTGCAATCCTTTGGTCCTGTGGGACAAAGAAAGGCATTTTGTTCCAAAATCAGTTCCATTTCCTATAGGTGAACTCTCATTTGTCAAGTGTACAACTTCTTTATCAAATGAAATGTTTAGATTTCCTTCTCGGAGTTTCCTTGAAAATAACTCCTTATAAAACTTTTCTCCTTAGGGTCAACTCCTGGTAAAAACCCCACAAGTCTGTTAGAGGTGAGACAATATGTGTTCCTCATTGATATGTCTTCATTAGGGTAAAGAAAGTCCCTGTATCTGATTACGTTTCATTCTTTTCCGGCAGCTAACGGAAACATTTTCAAAGAAAAACAAGTCGCGATTGGATAAAATAACGATGAAAACCTCAGGTATGTTCGAGACAATGTTTTTATGAAGGGTTATTAGAATGGAGGCAAAGAAAACGAGGCTTTTCTTCAGAAAAAGAACGTTTCCCTTTTTTCGACCTCTCGTCTCCGGTTGAAACCCTTCCCCTTCTAATTATATTTACCAACTACTGACCACATTGGTCGGCACCCCCACCCCCTTCGGGTGGAGTTGGTTAGTTAGACTGCCGCCTTCCAATCAAAGTGCATGTAATTTCCACTTCAAGGCGCAAAAGTCCTTCTATATCGACAGAGAACATACCACAAGTTGCTCGATGAAGATTTTATATTGACCCATTGGTAATATTGTTCTTGCAGTGTGTTCTATGAACCCAAATATAAAAATTACAGGCGACTCGGGAATTATGTTTGCTGAAAAGAACGATGGTGAGCATCCCACTTCAAGACAACTTGAAAAGGTAAATGTTTTTGGTAAATTACCCTCCTTCTTAACAAAGTTATACCAAACTTCTCCTACTTTCTTACAAAGTTTCTCATACAGTGTCATTTTTGATTCCCTACTACCAGTTGGAATAAGTTTTCATTTTTTTACTTTTTTTTTGCCAGACTGATATTTTATGATCTTCTTCTCGTTGAGTCTGACTTTGTTTTTCGCAACGATAGAATCGCAAAATTAAAAGAAACGTAGCGCTTCATGATATTATCTTGCAAATCCGTGTTTACGCGCATTCTTCTTTTGTTTTACCGCAGGACCCGATTTTTGATTCATGTGGCATGACATGTCCTAAGAAGCCAGACAAAATAACCAAAAAGGTGTCCGACGTTTCAGTTACCATTCCCACGAGAACAGCGCTCCTGCAAATCGCTGTTCTTAAACCAGGGAATATGTTTGTAAGTAAATCTCATCCCCATTGAACGCAGATCTTACAGCTATGATGAATAATATTTCTGTCTATGAATTAAGTCATCGAGAGAGTGTGTGTCAGTCAGACCTTGGCATTTTATTTGAATGAAATAAATAGAAAATGTTTTGAAATATTGTGCAAGTGATTTGGGGGCTTGAAAACTTGTCAAGAGAATTACTACGACTGAGAATATATGAAAAACATACACGCAATCGCGAAGAAAGAAGCGCATATGAAAACTGATCTTCTCAGTAAAGACTGCTTAAGCAGTAGTGAAAATAAGGCCTGAAAAAGATTCAGGCCTGTACGGGATTTGAATCCATGACCTCTGCGATACCGGTGCAGCGCTCTACCAACTAAGCTTACAAGCCAACTGGGAGTTGAAGGTGGATAATTTTAACGCTGTTCGCTCTCGAAACCAAAGGCTGGATCAAGTGCTATTGTACTCGTAGCGGGGGATTAAATTGGCAAAACGTTATGTTATGGATTAGTGTTGGACACCGAAGAGTAGTTATTCAGTATAGAAAATGAGAGAAAAAGTAAAACAAGTTGAGTTCCTGTGCAGACACATAACTACATATCTCAATTCTAAGCTGATGAAAAAAGAATAAGCTTTTCAATTCTACTTATCTCATTTTCTATATCTTTTTTTTTATTATTATCTATTATTATTCATTTGATTATTATCTCGTTATGTGTTTCAAACAGGGCCTGGAGTCCATGATGCCTAAAGTTGCCACCAAGATAAGTTCAGAGGTAGGCAAAAGTATTTCATTAAAATATCTGTGAACAATCTTGGCACATGTACTTATTTCACTTACACAAGAGGACTTATAGCCTTTCCAGTCAAGAATTAACAGTGGATTTTATGTTTTTATCTCCCGTTTCCTCGATAGACTGATGCAGTTGAAGAAAATCAAGATCCCTCCACAAAAAGCCTCATCTTGGTGAGTGGTTTCAAACTGCTCTTAAATCATAGAAAAAAAATCCTCAAAACCTGCTTCTTGGCAAAGTTATAAATGTAAATTCTGTCCTTTCTGCCCCCGTTATCGTTGCCAACCAACGAAACATTAATAAATGGCTTGATCATCTTCATCTTAGATCAGTGAAGGAGCTGAGTGTATCATGATCAACAAGAGGTTCTTCTTAATGAACGCCAGCATCACCACTCTCGTTCAGCTAAAAGCTTTGGTATGTGATTCTCTATATTTGTATTCAAGGGCGTGGCAACTGTATGATGAGAACATTTCTTCTTGCCAAGAAAAAGTTAATGGTGTCCATCATTTTCTGACAATGAATGATTTAAAAAGTACACAAATTATTGGGGTAAAGTTATAATGATCTGTTACACTTTCATCCTTAGCGAGAAGATTATATGACTGTACCTGATGCTCGACACCGGATCCAATGCTTAGAAAGTTGGGATTTGTACAAAGGAGAACTAATAAGAACACTGACGACAAGAGCGGAAAAACAAGCGCGAAGATAGCCGTGAATATTTTTAATGATTCAGTTCTTAGTATGACTCAGCATACGTACCTGCATACATCCGCTGGCTTGGAACAAGCGTTCAGGATTATTGACTGTCTCTAAGAGATGGATTCTATTTCCTGCTCTCCCACGGAAACTTTATGTTGGGGTAAATTTAAAGTATATTCTGGAAAAATCCTCGGAGACTGCCAGACGAGAATAACTTAAATTGGCCACTTCCGTTTTCTGACAACCCAGATATCCACTTTCTTTCCAGGGTTTCTCTCCTGTTAGAGGAAAAGATACTCTGGTGACGAGATCGTCTACCAATGATAAGAAAATTAATATATTTGTCTCTTTTGATAAATCAAAGAATTGTCCCGAAAGTAGGGAAATTATTTATGGGATGTAAATGTGAATACTAAGAAAACAAGAGTGAATAATGAGTGACATTTTGAAAAAGAAAACAAACCACATTCTTTCATGAGGGTCTCAAAGGGGTGAGGGCTTTTGTGGCTAACGGTTCAAATTTGGCAAATTTATCTCAAGGATTAATATCTTTCCACTGTGGTCCCCAGAAAAAATTTTACGGCTTACTTTTTTATTACGACAAACGCTTAAATTTTTGGTCTTTTAACGGCTAAGGGTTAACCCCTTTAAGACTCTCTTTCAAGGAGAACACATACGGATAAAATATCCAAAATCACCCTCTCTAAATTATTCACCCCACCCCTCCCTGTCAACATATAACACATACTGGTAAATATCCAAAATCACCCTCTCTAAATTATTCACCCCACCCGCTCCCTGTCAACATACACACAAAACACTGTTGCGGTCCTACGTGGTTACACATAACTTGCACGAACAAATCTTGAGGAACATATGTCGCCAAATTAGAGTCGTGGTAGGATTTTTGTGTTAACATAAAATTTACATTGTTCAATTCAATTGAAAGTTCAATTGCACCATTGTGAAGGATACTTCTCTCTTTCTCTTGGTTTTCTAGTTGTTAAATTATTGACAGTGTATATGAACTTCTCCAGTATCAGCAAATCGAAATGGGTGTAAACAGACTGAACAAAATAACAGATAATTTTATTATGATTCATAATTTTTTTCAGAGTGTTAATGAATTTCTCAAGCATCAATAAATTGAAAGAGTGAAAGATGAGTATTTTGATTGTAAATAAAGCAATCAAAAGTAAAGAGAAACTTTTGCAGAGACACTTTATCATTCATACCTGCGTATTTAGTTGCTGTTTTATTATTTTCATTCCTTCAATTTTGTGCAGCAGTTTACAAAAATAGCTCACCACATAGTCTTGCTGAGTATCACTTGAACTGTGCGACCATCAAGATTCAAATACGGTCATTTAACTCCGGTAACCATATGCTTACGTGTTACGCATACTCCCCGCTGCGCGACGAGTACAAAATGCGCATAACGGGTGACAAGGTTAATACGCGATGGATCGTGATAATAAAAATGAGCTAAATAACGATTTACATGATTCTGCTTGAATGTACTTTTAGTTCAGTTAAAGTATAACTGAATTGCGGAAATGCGTGAGTCATATGAACACGATCGTGACAGAGTCTTGTGACTTCAAATAGACTGTAACTCTTTAGTTTTCATGAGTTAACTTTGCGTTTATTATTGCTTTTTTAAGCCCTTATGTTTGAAATGGTTACCCGTCAGAAAAGCTAGCAGTCTGGCAAGGCTTTGATAAGGCAGTTAAAAGACAGAGACACTGTGAAAGATTTGTTTATTTGTACAACTTGTAGTAACATCTGGAAATTACCATAACATGAAATCAACGAGTCAAGAGCTCATTCCGCTCCTAACCAGCCCCATACCTTGTTAAAATGACCGCGTAGACCTGGGCGTAAACAACGAGGCCGCGGTGAAAGATATATCATGATAAGTAAAAATGTTCCTCGTGATAAAAATCCTCTCCTAGAATCCAGCGATTAATTAAATAACTCTCATAAAGATATAGAGGAAAAGACAGCTAATTCTATCTATATAAATATTAAGCAAACATTAATTTAGTGGTCAGAATACATTTCCACCAAATTTTTTATCCTTTATATTATCATGTTCCACTTTATTTTTCCTCTCCATCGCTAATGAGAGCAAAAGTTCATTTTTTCCCATATTTTTTAGCTCTAGCTTGCAGTTTACAATAATCAGGTTATGCGCAGGTCACAAATGAAAAAAATCATAAAACTCTTGCCTTATATTAGTACCTCAATTGTTAATCTTTTATTTTACAATTTTTGATCAAAATGCTTCAGAAAAGCACGGGAATGACATGACATTTTGTTTCTGTGCACTTCTCTGACTCAACTATTAACTGTGATACGGGACTGTAGTTGTATCAAAAGAAAAATAAATATCTAACAACTTTTATTCCAACGCCTCATACCTCGTTCTCGAATCGTTTATTGCCATAGTGGTGCCACAACTCTGAAATTTTCCGATGAGCTGCTTTGGCAATAGAGAAAACACTCACCAACTTGTTTAAGAACTTATATTAGGCAGACAAACCATCAAGGCGAATTTTTAACAGTTGACCAAGCGCTAACCCTTGAATGGAGCAACGAAAATCCAGAGAGAGAGGCCAGAGGAACAGATGTCTTCTGAACACGATCTCTGACTTCGTTAGTCGGTTAAAATATTTTTTTCGAAATAAGCACCGTCACCTGTTGCTAAGTTATTATATTATTATTACGACACTAAATGATTTCCTTGCGTGATCAGTCGTTGATTCAAAGATGTGAATATAAAACAGTATAGAGGTAAATTTAGGTGCCGAACTTTTTACTGCGTTTAGGTTAAAATTCGATTGCTTCAGAAGCGCGTTAATAGCTGTTTTATATACATACAACGATGACTGGATGAAATGCACTTGGCTTGTAAGAATTCAGCTTTTCACACTGCCACACCCCTCGTCCGCATGATGGTAACTTCTTCCGATCTTGACTCAACTGCTGAAGAATTCTGGGTTTGCTGAGTCAGCAGTTTGCGTCTGAAAAAGACAGCCACAACAACCAAAGCGACCAAAAGCAAAAGGCAAACTACCGCAATGCCAATAACCAACGGGTTCACCAGGCTAGTGTCGTGAGCTCTGTTTAACTCTGTCTCCTTAACCTCTTTTGGCGGATCCGCAGATGACGTATTTCGCGTTGTTTCCGTTTCCGTTGGTTCAGATATAAGCCGTATCATCTTGATATTTGCCCCTTGCCCGTGATCTCCTATTTGCCGATTATCACCGAGATCGCGGCGGTATAAGCGATGCGAGAGCTTGAACGAGCGGCTATTTACCTCTGATAAGATATGGGAAGTAACTTCGTTCCTGTCAGCGGTGGAACGACCAATCGATCGAGCAGGTCTGGAGTTAACTCCGGATGTGACGGAATAGATAGCATGCATGAACCACTTCCGGCTCCTGGGAACCTGCCGAGGGGAAAACAATCGACGTGTTACTGTTGATGCAAGATAACCTGGTGCAAATGCTGGTGTAAATCGCGACAGTCAGGGTAAGGTCTGAGCATTGGAATGTCATGCCGTGTACAAAACAAAGCAACCACAATTATGGGAAAATCGAAATTTAATCTGCGACATACCTCGAACAAAGGAGCACTGTTCATTAAAAACCCATCAGATCCAGGGTCTTCTGAGATGTTGGTGGCTGGGACTTCTTGTTCAGCAAATTTTGCTTTAAAAGGCACATTAGAGAGATGAGTATCTATTGTATCTGGTTCTTCTCTGTCCTGTTGAATGATAAAGAGAATTCACTTTTAAACCGAAGAACCCATTCAAAAAGGTCTCGTGGTGGAGCAATGATTTCGCTGAAAATCGGAAATGACGTTTAGAAGAAGAGGTGGGTTTCTCTCGAGCTTCAACCAATTTTTTAAGGAACTGTGTACTAGCACGCCCTGATTTGATGTGAAATAAAAAGGTATTTCAGTACAGGAATATTGATCTATTTTGCATAACTAATTGAAGCATTTTTTCTTCCAATACCTTTGCCTACTCATGTTCCTTGTGCAAAAGTCATCAAAAACTTACCAGAACTTTTAGCCGATGCTCCAAGTACAATGACTGCGCCATACATCCAAATTTGTTCTTCAGTGGGTCGTAAGTAGGAACGAACTCTCCGACCCCTGTACACAGGTACACCTTCTCTGCCGCTAAAGCATACCCCTTCCTACCCTTGCCGAATCCTCTGGCTTCGAGTAGTGAGATGCGACCGTAGATTTTCGAATCTATGCAAAACAGTGAAACACACAAGTAATAAAATTTCGGTTTCAAATATAATTTCATTCAGAAGAAAGAGAGAAGGAAACTTGCCCCTATCACCATTTACAAACCGCAGTTATCCAGAGGGAACGATACTTGGAATAAAATGAACGTTTTTCAAAGGGGTGTGGAGAACCAAAGAACAAAGTACCTCTCTGCAAAAAGCTTCTCCGGGTATCTTACGACATGTCGCAGGGACACATAGTTTAATAAGTCAGCAATTATGAAGAATAAGGATCTAAAAGTGGCGCATGTGCGAAGGGATTTTGAGTCCGCTGATCTAGGTCGGCTTTGAATTTAAAATTTTAGGTCTTATGAACAAGAGAAAAAGAGAAACAGAGAGCAGACGGATAATTTTACTAATATGAATCTAAAGGGGTAGATACCTCTGGAGAAGGCAGCGTCCACGTTTAAATCCTTCATCCCATTAACGTCTCCATCCAACCACTGATCCCGATTGGCCAGCAGCAGAAACTGAGCATTTAAAGTAAATTGCCCGGGGACTGGGTCAGGAACCTGCTGGAACCTGATTGGTAAAGTGAACGTCACCGGATCACGTGGATGGCAGGTCGGCGGTTCTGAGTAACTCACTCCCTGCATAGAAACAAAAATACATACCCAGGCACTCATTTACATCAATTTTTTTTGTGCCTTTCATTTACCAAAAACAATGCGCCATTAAGAGAATACCAACTGCAAACATACAGCTGATTTTCTCTTGGTGCCATATAGTAAATACTACGTGAAGATTTCTAAAATAACCACCTCAGCAACTGTACAAGGAATCAGTTTGATAAAATAAACACCAGTGTAATCTCGTAAGGCAAACTGGGATTGAAATCGCCAGGTCTGCTTGGGGTAGTCGAACGTTTGTTCACTTGATACCAGGCTCAAACCGAAACTCAGGTGGGGGCGGTCACGTGACATAACAGCTGCCATGGCTTGGGTACCTTCATTATGAAAAAAAATAACATTTTCAATAAGACTGGTGTAAATGAGCAATGAAAGGGGTGCGTTAAACGGATCTTTTTCTGCACGAAAGATGGGCTATTAATTTATTTAAAGAGTAGGTTGTACGCTACCTGGAGGGAAATGAACTACAGCTTACCTAGTTTAAGATTCTTAGGGGGGGTATGTGCACCGATATGCATTGTTTTTCCTATTGATGGAAGATAAGAAACCAAAGAGTACAAGCTCCATCGTATGAAGTCTATTTCTTTTATGCCTAAGCTCAAAACGCGCGGGTCTGTTGTTTTTGTCGCCGATAACTTTTTTGTAGGCACTTCATCGATGAAGAAGCTGAATTAAACTTACCAGGATTTTTAATCAGGTATGTTCCTCGAAACTTTGTTCTGGTGTTGAAATTCACCACCAGCTTCTTATCTTCCTCGCGAACAGAGATAGCTGTTGGCCACAAGTCTCCTTTAAACATGCCCCCCTCAGGAGTTTGAATGCCATTATTCAACAGCACAGCGGTGTCGTAAGTTAGATACAGGCGCAAATACATGGCATGGTCATAATGGACCCAGTCTCCTCTGCTCCTTGGTACACGATACACATAACTCACATATAGAGGTACCCGAACGGTGATCTGGGATTGTGCGATATCACGTGATTGTCCATCTGACGTCACCGAAGCGCCACAATACTGTGTGAGTTCTGATAAATCATAATAACTGTTAAAAGTCCAAACACACGACTCCAGATCGAGATTCCTATAAAAGCGTATTGTTCTGTTACTTCTTAATTCGGAACTAAATTGATAAGGTTCGCCCTCGATCATACTTTCACGATCTTTCATGGAAGGAGAAACAAAACCAAAGTTGGTGATCAGTTCGTTTACATCCAAAAGGTTAGAACATTTGTGTTGCGCCTGTCTCAGCACACCTGGACGAAGGATCCGTTTGAAGTTTCTTAACCTCTTGGTAGATATAACTGGTATTAGACCGTCGGTATGAGGAATGGCTAATTTGATATGGACTTTGTTGGAATATTTATTACCCGTCATCCCTGTGAAAGAAATACTCGCCACAATCTCCTGGGAACCCATGCGATGAGGGTCACGTGGTGTACATAGTCCGTCTTTTCTACTCACATTCACTTGAGGGCTAGTTGACTCCAGGCCCAACTCACCGCGGTCGCTAACCGCCCGCGCAACACATCGCACTCGAGTACCTGGGACTAAGTATGAGCTGTCTAAAGTCACGAGGTCAGTTCTTGCGAAAAAAGAGTCACTGGTGAGGTCCTTAGAATCGTCACCAACTTGCCAACGGAATTGCGTCAACCTGTTGTTGATTCTTTGTGAAGAGCAGATGGAGCCAGTTTCTGCATAGCGCGGGTGTTTTGGATTACAGGCCTACACCAAAAAAATTGAAAATTTATGCTTTTTCAGGACAGGATTATTAAACACAGTATGGAACATTTGTTTCACACCACTTCGTAGACTAAGAGCAAAAATGGAAGACTACACCTGCGACATACATACATACTACGTTCACTACACTCAGTATCCTACTATAGACAAGATTTTTCTGGAAACTTACCGTTACACAGATCAGCGGATAACCCATTATAACCTCGGATCCTGCACCACTGACGTCATCATAGTCACGCAATGACACAATTCTAGGCGACAACGGAAACGTGACGGTTGGATTTGTAGACGGCTGTTCAATGTAAACGATAACTTTCTTCAGCCCCAGGCTACTTTCGCCGGTCATGTCAGAGCTCAGATGGACGCTGAACGCGGAGCGAATCTTTCGATGAGCGTCGAAGAGTAATTTGATAGCTATTACATGAGCTGACTTGTTTCCCGAAAACTCGATAATCTGTGAAGGGAAGTGAAGAAATTTATTCTTAATTGAATAACTATAGATTTGGTGACAAGAAAAGCTATTATGAACGAGGGCTGCCATTGTTTTAAAGAAATTTATCGATCTCAGGCTTATCTTGTTACTTTGAGAAAAACAGCCGAGAAGCAGGTTCCATCGCTGTCTACGAGTAACCCTTTGAAGCACTGAAGAAAGAAATTGGCGAGTGAGGAATGGCCTCAGAAAGCTTCGCGCCCGCGCTGCCTTCAAACTCACCAACTTTCCTTTTAATTTCTTTTTCTCGCACGCGACTTGCGGCGCCATACATTAGCTTGCTTTTAATAATGAATTACCTCGGTCATCGGTTGATAACTTCTACCAGCCTTTGCTGATCCATCAAGACTGTAAACTCTGACTTTTGATCGCACGGTGGGGTCACCTGTTTTCTTAACAGGAATCAAAGCTTCGCTGTTCGCTCCAGCTACAGCAGGGCCTACGACAAATACACGCTCCTTGGTAAATTGAATCACAGGCTCTGGAAAAGAAAGAAGTACAAAACATTTTATTCTAGAAGTTGAAAAAGTCAAAACAAAATGAGAAAATTACAACCAAAGTTTTACAGAATTCATGCGCAATTGTGCCAAAAACTCAAAAGGTGTCTGTAAAGTTAGATATGGAATTGATTGGTTTAACTGAAGCCTGAGCTCGGTTAACAGTTATCGGGATGCTCTGCCTGTCCCATTTATTTTCCTTTTTTTATTCTAATTTTTTTTAATTAAATATTCTCAAGATAATGGTTAGCTTTAAATGACATTCGAACTTGTAAATCAAATATTTTTCGTTTGTTTACTTGTTTACTCGTTCTTAGCACTTACTATCGGCAGAGTCCAATATGCTTATTATTGAAGTATTCCTCTTTCCTATCCGGCTTGCCTTGTCCACGCTTCCTAATCTTAGCCGAAACATCTCCTTCCCTTCGAATACAACATCGTTTACAATAGTCACGGGACAAATCTTCCGATACTCCCCTGGGTAAAACAGAACCAGTGACTTATCTGTGTCCGGTCTCTCTTTGAAATCTCGTTCCACCTGTGCTGTCAGATACCGCGTGTAACATCGAACTGATGACGTATATGAAAGATCACCACTGCGCATGAGCACAACGTTTAGCGTTCCTGATTCCTCATTGGCAAAATATGCTGTCTTTTCGAATTGTATTGTGGGCACTAGGAAGGAACCGAAGACATCAGACGGGAAAGAAAAAAGATAGCCGCAACTTTTACTCGTAAGGCTAATGAGCACATCACAACAAATAACATAATTTAAGAATCATTATCTTGGACTGGACTGCAAGTGGATTAATCAGGCATGAAGCCTAAGCTTGCTTTGGTTGTCTTTATTCTTACATAACCTCTTTTCCCGAAGGAGAACTAATCGGTACCTGATAACTGTCAGTAAAACCAGATCGAATATTAGGGGGTAACTAGAAATTGAGTGGCATCCTGCCAAATGAGGGTGGCGATACTCTGTTTGCCTCATGCTACCGGAATAAGCCCCTCCAGTAATGGGCTAGGCTTGTGACACCTCACCTTTATTGATCACAGAGCCATAACAATTCAAAATTAAAAAGCAGCGAACAGAAATTGCTTGATATTGTCAGTTAGTGGTAAAACTGGTCCCTCAAGTTCGTGCGCACAAAGCCAAGAGTCAACAACGGAATTCTTCACCCCAGATAAGTAAGCTAGATTTTTTTGTACAAAAACATATACATACAGTATATATCAGAAAGAAACTCACAATCTGAAATTGAGTCGTCAATTGCAACAACTGTCTCGCTTGCCTGCCCAAGCCCAGCGTTGATGGGCGTTCTAAGTACAAGTTCAAATTCCTCCGTCCCCTCCACCTTAGGAAGTCCTTGGTCGTCTCGGATGGTGACCTGTACTGTCTGAATCTTTGAGAAAGGTGGGAAGTAAACCATCTGGATAACGGGGATGTAGTCCTCAGTAGCTACAAGACAACCACAGAAAATCCTAAGCGACTCGAACGCAAAGGTAGTGCAATGTTTCGCACTCAGATTTGCTTTTTGCGACCGAATCAATTGGTGATCGGGCTTAAATTTGTGAATTTAAAACCCTCCATATTGAGGTGAAAATTCTGTCGCGACCCTTATTCAGACTCATAGTCATTGCTCGCTCACGAGGGCGGTATTTTCTACCGCAAAAGAAAGCAAAATTCGTCTAGCATGCCCGACAACTTAGCTACCACCAAGGAAATGGCCTTCAATCTTACAACTTAAGTCGATTGCCATCATCTGATTTCAATTCATCTGTTTTACATTACATTGCAGAGATTAACACTAAAACATTACAATCAGTCAAGCACAAAGAACTAGAACGACTTTCAGAAACTCAAAACCATATTGTTTACAAAGGATAAAATAACTGCGCTGTTCTTAATTAATCTATATCACATTAATCTATATGCTTATTAATAGCCCTCTACTTTCCTAAAGTAGCTCATGTCTGTGCCTTCATACCTCGAGCGGAGATTGGATCCATTTGTCTCGACCTCAGGAACACAGACGATGGTTTCGAGAGGTCAGTTCCAGTCCTCTTCAGGCTGACGTCAATCTTGCCGACACTTTCATCCACAGAGTAACGCCCGCGATCAAAGAATATCTTGGGCTCTAAATAAACGGCAACAAATGGTTAGGCTGATGAATACATTCCAAAAATTGTTCGACAATTGGGCGAACGAGACAGAAAAAACGGTATCAGATGTTACAATTAAACGCCGTTTAACCTTTGATTCAAGAGGATTCAAACAATATTTTTAGAAGGAAGTGTCACTTCCATCAAGTATGTTGCATGTTGTTGTACTTGACAGCCAGACTTGTGTTTACATAAGTAATCTGCTTTTGGGATAATCTTTGTCAACCAGACGTTAGACGTTGGCTTTTCAAAAGATGCCTTAAGCCCTTAATTGTAACTTGTAATCGTCTTAAGTTAGAGCGCGTCCGTGTTTTTTCCCTTCAAAGAGGACCGCCTATCAGGAACGTGCCAGCTCAGTCAACGCCGCGTAAAAGAAGGAATGAGTTCCAAGAAGCCACGCCGAATGTTGTCTTTCTATGCGCACTTGTGGTTCTATTTCTAACTTGTAATGTCGGCTTGTTGATATTATCTTTGTGTCGGAACAAGAAAGATGTTTTTTCGGCGGCGCACAAAGATCTCGAACCTCTAGAAAATGAAAAACAAAATAGCGGTGCGTCATTGAGGACAGCTTGCGTGTCTGGCAACGCAGTTAATGATCTCGAATCTTCGCCCTACCTAGACTCGAAAATTGGCGTAAAGCTAAAGAAAACATGCAAACATTTATTTCATAATTGTTCAAATTATCGTGTCGCGTGTCATCATGTTCCCTTACCGTCCTTTACATCCGGCGCTATGACAATAATGCTGCTGTTCCTTTCACTATTTATTCTGCTGCCAAGATGGGAGATCACTTTCACATAAAATTTTTCCTCGTTCTCGTAAAGAGAGTCATCAATAATGGTGACCGGACAGTATTTAACAGTATCACCCTTCGAAGAAAAAAAAGAAGGAAAATCAAATTAAAGAAGCTCTGACGCCACATTTTGAGTCGGTTGCGCGTCGCAGAAATTGCACTTTAATGAATGGAAACCTTAATGTAAAAGTTTTTTTGACAGAAAAACCCAAACAAGCGAAAATATAACAAAAAGTGACTAAGATGGTCAAGGATGGAAAAAACTTAGGCATGATTGCAAATGAAAGACGTGAAAAGTTGCCGCGTAGCCTTTCAAGGGGTACAACCTACGAAATAACCATCCTGAAATAAAAAGACTAACCGCCTTAGAAACTAAACCGATTCTTTATTATCCTAAGGCAACAGTATGAGGAATCGCACACGATTTTGCAAGACAGAATTTACGTAGTAAATTCTGTTAGCCTGTGTAGCTAAGGGAGTTGCGTCCGCTTTGAAGATTTGAACAGGACGGCAGAATAAATCAGCGGTAAGTCAGAGAGACGCTTGGGCTCTACTGACTGCTACATTGTCATGAAGCTCTCAATAAACCGCCGGCTGCGCAGCCTAAAAAATTCTATAATGGTTCTACAGTGCTTACCTTTCCAAAAGTAATCACACTGTGTTTGCTGTCAGGCCTCGTGATAAAGTCGGAGTAAGACAATATAGACGTAGGTAACGTCCCTGTGGCCCAACCTGAAGCATATTAAATACAAGCTCACTGAAAGAAAATTCTTTTGTGAAGATCCATAAAAACATAATTGGTGGAACTATTCAATTCACTTATTTTGTACTTTTCCCTCGGTAGAGGAAGCAACAGACCTGTTGGATTATCTATTGAAGACCCAGGATCAAATTATGATCCCCCCCTCATCTCCACCCATAAGTGCGAAATGAAAACCGGCAACGTAATAGGAATACCTGATAAAATGCCAAGGGGAGGGGGGAACGGGGACAGAGAGACGATGAATAGGGGAGTAACCTGTAGTGGACAAGCATCCGATTTATGGGGAGAAGTGATAGTTAAAATTTTAGTGACTTCATTAAATAGAAATCGAGATGACAAGAGGCAGTGTGAGCTCCTTGGCCCATTAGACTCAGCCATATCCTGGCTTCTCGCCTACCTTCCTCCCCAAAAAAGGTAGTCACACAACTGACATACAGCCGCTGACTGGTGTCTCCTGTGCGCCTCAAGGGAATTCTTACTTCTCCGACACTTTCCTCCACAACAAAGTGACTTTGAACAACTTCAACCGATGGAACTAGAAAATGCCAGAAAAAATAGGGCAACAAATTACGAACGAAAAATGAAATTGCATCACTCAAAGACAGAAGTGGTGAAAATTCTTCAATACCAGATTACTTTCGACAGGAGTCCATAATGTGGTTCCTGTTTCGACAATCAAATGTAAATTGCTCTGTGCAAAACATATTTTTTAAAAATGATCATATCTTACCATCCTCCGGATCTGAGATGGTCACGTGAGCTGTCTTTGGTTGCCTGATGACGCACATCTCAGGACTCCTAAGCTCCACCTCTAACGTTTCATTGGCTTCGTAAATCCCATCATCCTCAACGATTAACTTCCACTCCGCTTTCCTCTGACCAGGACTAAAATGAACGTGCGCAGGGCTAACCAAGGAGAAATCCTGGCCTCGAGTAGCTGTAAGACCCTTTATAGCCATGCGAATAAAGGACGGGTCCCCTAGAAAACCCTTCCTGATGATTCCAAGGCTTATGGTTCCTTCTGTCTCGCTAACGTGGTATTTTTGACGTTCAAATGAAACCCACGCCCAAGTAAGAGAAAATCGCTGAAAGCGCAGGACATTCCCGGCAGGATCAGAAACGTCAAAGTTGAAACCGTCATTTGTGGCGTTACAATGTTCATGTAAGACATACGAAATGTTTCCGGCGTCAATGTCGGACTGAGTGAAGTTTGTGATGCTGCCGTTGCTATGGTAATTCCCTTGTGCCACAAGATCTCCGTTTGATGGTTGAGCTGTGACAATGTACAGAAGCTCAGAATTATCACTGTCCAGGTCCGCCGCGCGTAACGAAGCGTTCCTTATAACCAGCCCGATTTTGTTGCCCGGTAAGTTTTCAAGATTGGTGGCCGCTCTGTTAATAATCAGTTGTGGAATTCTGTTGTCCACGGGAACAACAAACACTTGAATTTCCCGGGGCTCACGAACCACATTCTCGGTGTCTGGAAACATGTAAAATTTGTTATGAATTCCGTCGCTTATCGTGATTTTAAAGCTGTCTTTGACCACGTCTGTACCATCGTGAGCATAGGAAATTCGATTAAGGTTGATATCTTCTTGCGTGAATACGTGCGTAGGAATCCCGCGGTTAAGTAGCCAGCCGTGCAAAGGTACGCGCGTGACTGTGTACACGAGATTCGCGGGAGGCGTGTCTTGATCGTCCGCGCGCAGCTCGAAAGGTGTTATCAGTATACTCTCACCTTCATTGACCACAAGTTTTCGATGGATTAGAACTGGTTTTTTGTTGTCGATGTTTAACAGCGTCACCAAAAATGTGCGAACCACGCCATTAGTGCCATCAGAAACTTCAAAATCAAAACTGTCCGCTTTAGCTTCGTCGGTACTCGTGTGTACATAGACAATTTTATTTCCCGCCAAATCAAGTTGGGTGAAGGAATTAAGTCGCAGTCCGGGAAAGTCCAAGTGCTCCAAGTGACCCTTTAACGGCTGCTTTTTCAGTAAAAATCGTAGTTTTTCATTGGGACTTCCCGTATCGCTGGCACTGAGGAAGTTTGTCGAGATAATGACGCGAGAGTCTTGGGTCAACTGCACTCCTTTATTAATTACAGTTGGGTGAATTCTATCGCCAGCGCTGATTTGCACGTAAAATATTTGATTTAATCGTATGTTTTTACCATCAGAAATGTCAAATTTTATCTGATCTCTCTCGCTTGGGATATGAGGATCCTGAGAGTAAACTAAACGTCTTTCTTCAATGTCTCTTTGAGTAAACCTTTGCCACCGACCTAAGTTTTGAACGGACCCATTAAGGTTTATAAGCCTCAGAGATCCCGACCGCGGGGGACTGCGTACTATAAATGTGATGTTCTCATCTGAGGAATCTATATCTGTGGCTCTGAGGTTGTTTGGCGTGATTGGTCTGCTTTCGCCAACAAACTCGATCTGTAGTCCAATATTCACTGACAATGTGGGTTCCTCGTCATCGATAGGAGTGATGATAACAGGAATTGAACGCGTTGTGTTATATTTGCCATCCGTGACGCTCACAACGAAAGAATCCTGAGTACTCTCGCTTCCATCATGTTGGTACACTATAGAGGTCGATTTTTTTATCTGCGTCAGGGAGAACCTGGGCACTGGTGCCACAGCGCCCCTCCGTGTGTCCGTGATCATGCCGTGACTTGGCGGCGTGACAACGAAGAAAACCAACTCATCCAGAGGTTCGTCATTGTCGACTGCGTTCAGGACAGCTACGTCAATGATCATCTCATCACCTTCATCCACCTTAAATTCTCGGATGAATATCTGCGGTATTTCATCATTTTGCGGGATGATATCGATATTCAGCAAGTAACGCGGTGATGTGTTATTACCATCAGAACACGAAAAAGCCGCCCAATCCATGGTTGGCTCGCTGTTCTCATACTTGTCTTGCACGTAGCTGATGCGTCCAGCTCGTATCTCGTCAATAGTAAAAGAGGTAACACGTTTTCCCGCGTTGCTGATCTCTGATCCCCGAGATGGCGTGACATTTTCCAAGAAACCCACTGTGGGTTGTATATCAATGGTGCAAGTGACGTCACTGTCACGCGTATCGGGATCGACGATAGTCAAATGGCGTGACGTGAGTTTGGTTTCTCCACCTTCAAGCACAACAAGTGGTTCGTTTCTACTCACTGCTGGCGGCTGACTGTCCACTGGTAGAATCATTGTGACCACAGTCACTGCTGTGAGAATAAAAATAAAATAACATATTAATCTTTAACTGCATTTAAATGACGTGCTTGATATCAGATGAACTATAGCGAACGCGAACTGATGTGGTGTTGAACTGGTCATCTAATAATATTCAAAAAAAACGATCTATGTTTGGAATAACAAGGAGACCTGTTTTGTGTAAGTAAAATTGCACAATTCTCGTTCAACTATCTTCTCTTCATATTCGAACTCTTTCCTGAAAATCTCATGTAATTTTCATGGCACTTGAAAACTGTGAACATTTAGCTGTCTGGCTTGAGCTGCGCAGTTTTCCATAGTCACGTAATTACTTCAGACACACCAACAGGAGATTTGAACGAGTCTACTTGTAATCTGATGAAGCACATTTCATTACAATAACATTTTAAGTTACCTTCATATCTTCTTCCCTCTCGAATCCAGGTCTCTGTGTCATTCAACAACGTCATATTAAAATGATCCACATCTCCTTGGAGTCCAGTCTCTTTTCCAATGTGCTCGTAATAGACAACCCCAGCTTCCAAGTCCTGGACACTAAACTCGTAGCTCACCTTTCCATCGCGTAAAATTCGCCCTACCCGGGGTGGGCTAGCGATGCGAAGTATAATCTCCGTGTCGCGGGGACTTTGAGAAGAAGAGTGAATTTTGATAGCCTCCCGTGAATTTTCCTTTACAGTCACTGTCATATTGTACACATGACAAGTCACATTCTTGCGCTCAGGAATGATAACTGGATGGGTAAGAAAAAAAGAAAAACTTACAGACTATGAAATTCCTCCCTAGGAAGTTTATTCACTCAAAAAGTCCCCGCCCAATGGAAATGAGACCAACAACTCAGATTTTGACCAAGAGGCCTTGCTTTATCGTAGTCGTTTATCTATTCTGCCGAGGAAACCTCCAATGGAGAATTTTGCTTTAGCTAATGCGGCTCAAGGTTCTTGTGTCAGACTAATAAATGCACTCGATAACAAATTTATGAGCGAGGTTTGATAACAAGGGCTACCGGAGCTAGTTTTCCGCACCAATTGTTGTTGACAAGCCCTTTAGCCCAGGGGGTGACTGCTATCTAAAATCTACTCACACTATCACTACTGATTCAAAACTCAAGGTCAAGAGAGGAAAGCAAATGATCGTTAACGAAAGAAGCTCTTGGTTATTAAACAAAGTTTCCTTTTCAATACCAAAATAAACATGTAAAGGAGAGTATTGAAAATATGCAGACTGATATTAGGGCGTGTAGGATTAGTCAGTAAAATTTTTACACGTACTGGCGATTACGATTCTGCTTTCACCAAGATGTCACCTTATTTTCCATTCAAATTTTTCATCAATCATCATATGTTGCTTTTGCCAGAGATACAAAAGGTTGAAGAAGACAGCTTTCCTACAGTTTTCAGTTTATTCACGCAAACACAAGTTTTCTCCCTGTGGTATGTAAACAAGGCTTAAAAACCAAAGTTCGATTCAACGATTCGCTATATTTTTCAGCCTATTAGCTAGCGAGAGATCGAGACTGGAAACATTTCTCTTCAGCCTTAGGCCATGCTTTCATCTATGCTAAAAAAAGATCTCCCAACATAAATAAAAACTCCTTGTCTGGCTCGACAATTAAAATCATTTTCTTTTCCTTTTTTATTTTAGGGTAATTTGTAATAGGGAACAGAAACAAGAAACATTGTGCGGCAAAGAACTGTTTTCAAAGTGCTTAATCCATAAACTCCCCAAAAGCAGATTATACAGGATTTTTCTCAGACAAATGAGGTGGAACTTTCTAATCCTTATGAAATAGACTTTCAACGTGGACGGATTGAAACCGGTCCAAATTTCAGAGCCCGTCAATTGTCTGATAAGGACGTGAAGAAGTACTGCCAATCCAAGTGTTAACTATAAGCGCGTCCGGTCCAAATCCACTTGATTAAGAATCCTTTTCCATTTAGTAAGACTTCTGCAAGAAGTCATGGAAAAAAACTAGAAAGCATTCTGGAAACGTCTTCGAAATCCTTTATCAGAGGGGATTACATAGTATAGACAACATATTGAAATGCGATCGATAATTCCGAGACAATTTGCGATAAACACAGTTAAATAGAAATTCAAATAAAGTGTTTATTTATTTGTAGCCTCTGTTAACATATTGCTCGTGTTTGATTTAATCCGTTTAGTATGGATTAACAAGCTTTAGGAGTTTAAGGCCCCGCATGAAAAAAACCTAGAGGGAGTTTGCACGAAATCATAGAAAATAAATCTTTCTTTCTATTAAAAAAGCAAACATGGTTTCTCAAAAATGGCCGATACTTGAGAGGCAAACTATGCGCGAATTTCACTATGAACGTCTGAATTTTGTCCTTTTTTTTCCCAAAGCTGAGTTTTTATTGATTAGCTCAGCTTGAAATAAGTAGTGCCAACAAAATAGACAGGAATAGGGCACGCAAGCTTCTCAAATAGAAGGAGCATGCTCATTAATACAAAAAAAAACATTTCCTGATTACTTTAATCGCGCTTCTGCCGGAACACTTATCAAATTAGAGCGAATGTCGCGGTAATCAATCATGCCTCGCTTTCATGGACGACGGATGGCGCAAAAGATATACAGCACGTCTCTTCGTGTTGTTTAACAAACAAATTCCTCTTTCGATTTTTTCTTGTTCAGAAAATATTTTGCACGCCTTGGTACGCAAATTTTTCTTTTCTTTCTTTCGGAACTCTTCAGAAGAAAGTCTTCTCTTTTCAGAAGGGAAAGAACATGACCTGGAATGCGAATTCATCTCACTTAGGTTTCAAGAGGTTATTGGCTTACTGTTAAGAAAAAAATCGCCAAGAAATACTATAGAAAATTATGAAAACCTCTTACATGCAAGGATGTATTACTTGAAAGGATTATCATGATAACTCATGAACAACTGAGGCGATAACTTCTTCGGAGACATATTTGAACGTCGCTATTTTATCTCTGAAAACCTTCTGTATTGTAATAATCTATAAAAAAAAGACCGAAAGCTAACCTCACACGATGAGGTTTGGCTGATGTCTATTTAGACTACAGCTTGGATGGTCATCTTCGTCTGATTCTAACGATTAGAGCCATAAATCATGCTCCAAGTCAAGCTTTGTTTATTTTTCTTTTGATCTTTGGCCAAAATAAAAAAAAACTCTCATTGTTTTCGGTTTCATGGAGAAACATGATCCCTAAGAGATAAAACAACGGAACAAAACACTTAATGAATAACACGTCAAGCCGAGTAAAAATCGTACTAAGTCAAGCCAGTAGATTTGGTGACACGAAGGAGGATACCTATTAGCCTATTTATGTTTCTATTCAAGCTTTCTATTCATACAAGCTTAGAGAGTTCATGTAACTATAATTTTCTGGACGTTTTTCTTTTATTCTTATTCATTTTCTTAACCATAGCTTTGCGGTCGAAGGTCGTTTTCTTAGAGAATGAAAGCAAGAATTCCTCCCCGGCCTCACAATCTTGCACGCGCAACTTTCCTATACGATCCTCGACGCTTATTTCGATGTTGATTTGCGATAATTGTAACACTCAGACCTCCCTACTAAAACTCTATTGAAGCCAAGAGGTGACTCAGTCTCTTTAGCGTCCTAGAATATCCCATTTTACGAGATTAAAACCTTTAATATCGCGAAAAATACAAAAGAGATAAATAGAAAGCAATAAATAATGACGAGGATAGGCAAGAGGGGAGAAGATTAACTCAGATTGGTAATGACAAACTTGAAAATTTTAGGCTACAAAATCAGGATAGATAAACACTTACTCTACTCTCTTATGAGTACAACAATCTGATCATGGCACGAATGCGACTTTTAAGCAAGACACAAATCTTTTTCCACTCTTGACATTTTAGACACCAGGGGTCCGATTCAAGCAAGTTGTGGTAACTTTAAAACCCCGAAGCTTTGACATTTTAGAAAAGGATATTTACAGCTCTAAAAACACTCTCTTCAGTTTCGTTTCCTAATAACTTCATTACTTGTATTTCAAAACTAATGATGGCACGTGTGATCTTTCGAATGCGAAAAACTCTTGCCAGAAAGAATTTACTACGACAAAAATTTACGCCGCAGGCTCTATGTCTATCTTTAATTACCACATGGTTTTAATTTACATTTAAACTCATTATAGGAGTGCCCTACTGCACCTTTGTGTTCTTATGTTAAAGTGAAAGTGTACCTAAAACCCCAGATTTTACATTCATAATCCGGAAACGAGCAGCTCGAGGATTTTCGACTCTCAGCATTAAAAGAAATGTTCTTACTGCACGGAAAAGAGATCAGTTCAAAAAAGACAAAAAACTAAAGAATATAGAACAGTTCCTATTTTAGGTCATGTACTGTACTTAATGTATTATACTTAATCTCAGCGTAGAGAAGTCGGTGTAACATAAACTGAAATTTCTCGATGATCTTCTGCGTGATTCCATAGTCTTTCGTAAACGTTTCACAAGGCCGAGTACATAACGAGATCTTAGTTTTGCATTGTCTCATATCAGAGTCAGAATCCGTTTTTTAAGTATCTTCGATAATAAGAATGTTCAAAAATATTCCAAAAGCTACAGAGAAAACTATATTCCGCTGGTTTTCGATAGTAATTGGGCACTCTTGAAGATTTCTCTCTTAATCCATGTATCTGCTTGGTTAGTTCATCGTGATTTATCATTTTACTTAAATGACCCCAACCCTAAGCTGTCTGGCTAAAGTGGCCCCACAGCCAAACACTAGTTACCCGATAAGTTCCAGCAAAAGCAAATACTCCTTGAGCTCATTAGCTTTTTTTTAACCAGCAAGGGGGTAATAAAAGGCCTTATACTAAAGTCGGCCTCCCGCAGTGGACACCTCTTCGACAGTTCCCTCCCAGAACTAGTCCAGTCCCATAGGGACTCTTGGCAAGTTAGATAAGCACGTATATCACAATGACAGTATCATACCTATTTCTAGAAGGAAGTTTTGCCTTTGTATTCCATCGTCAACTGTCAATCCAACCTCGTCACTCGCCTCGCCTTTAGTCGCGTGACGGTACCAAACTTGGGACGCTGCAACATCCTGGACGCTAAAAGTGTCCAGATACTGCAACTCGAGGTCATTTTTGATGAGGAAGCCATACCGTGGGGGAGAAACCAGAGTAAGGGTCAGTTCATGTTTGGGTGTGTCCTCATCAAACGCAGTCAAATGTGCACTCCCCAGAATCGCCTGGTTTAGTTCGTCTACCTCTAAAGGTTTCACTACCACGCGAGGCCCTTGGTTATTTACCGGCGTCAAAATAACACGGAAGGCCTGATTTCTAACCGTATTACCCGACAGATCTGATACTGAAAACTCAAACTGCACGTATCTAGGTTTGGTACCAAGTTCCAAGTCAGGAGATTTGAAAATGATTTTTTCGTGCCGCAGCTGGAGCTGGTTGAATCTCAACACTTTTGCTTTCGTATTTGAAAGGAGAATTTCCCCAGCTGATTCACTTCTGTTCAGACCATCGTCAATAAAGCTAGGTTCCTTTGTAATGAAAAATAGAAGTTCGTCATCATTAGAATCTTTGTCTGTGTAGTGCAGTACATCTTCGCTTAGCGCCTCCAGTCCCTTCTCGTCAGCGATTAATTCCAAGGGACATCCAGGAAACAGAAATGGAGGTAAGTCATCGACTCGTCGAATTGTGACCTGAAAAGTTTTTATCGGAGAAACGTTTGGATCATCAGCTTCATCAAACATTACAAAAGCGACTTCATCGCTGAAATATTCTCCTCCAAGGTGCCGATAGTAAAGGCGTCTATTGTTGATATCGTCCTGAGAAAACTGAGTAACATTTGTTTCATAAACGCCGTCCTCCAGAAGAACCCAGTTTTCGCCTCTTTCGGGTGGAGTTTTGGTTCGCAGGCACAAAACACCGATGCTGGTCTCTTCAAACAATGAATTATCCGCATTCTCTTGGAAGTTTGGATGGCTTATGAGTTTGAATTTTATTTTACTGTCCTCGGAGTCGATGTCTGTGGCACTCAACATGTACTGGTCTATCAATGCTAGATCCCCTTCGTCCAATGTCAGCCCAGTATTGTGTACCAGTGTTGGAGCAGTGTCATCCACGGGGCCAATAGTTATTGGGAACAGGAACTTTACGTCGTGTTGAGTATCGGTGAGTCGGAAGATAATATTGTCACTGTAAGTATCTGAACCATCATGGTGATAAGTTATGACGGGTATTTCCAAATCTGTCGCCATAAACTGATTTACTTTGTGTCCAATTATTCGAAGCTCGCCATGCCTCAAGCCGCCAATCACTTGCAGCCGAACGTCATCAAAGTTATCTTTATCGGAGATAGCCAGATTGAATTTTTCTGTGATAGCCCGTGATTGACCTTCAAATAAGCTAAGACCAGCGTTTTTCGTAACAATAGGCGCTTGATTATTAGTCGGTTTTACCATAATCAAGAGAAGAATCTGTTCAGATTTCGCGCCCTCGGTGTCCACAGCCTCTAATCTGAGCTGAAACATGCGCAGCTCCGATGATTGAGCGGTAGGAGGCCTATAAGCGATCTTAAACTGTTCGACATCTCTCTGATAGAAAGCTGTCAGCGAGTGATAAGGGTCATCGGTGTTTACCAGCGAACCTTCGCCTGATTGTAACGCTTGAGTGATATTAAAAATTATCTCACGAGCATCGGTTTCCGCGTCAGAGGCAGCGAGGATATCAGAAGTTATCGGGGCAAGCGTGTATTGATTGACTTCCACGGTATGAGAAGCTTCAAAAGAAGCCACTGGTCTTTGGTTCGATCGTGCCTCCATTATACGCACGATTATTTGAAAGTATTCCCTCTCGATTCGATGAGTATTTTCATCGATAAGCTCTACTACCAGTGGAATAAAATCGCGATTAGAAGATGAAAGCTTTTTGTGTTGATAGCGAATATTGGATCGTAAGAAATCGCTACATTCAAAGCTGGCCGTTTTCTCTTGGTCCCTTGTAACATTAACAAGTTCTCCGTATCGCGAATTTACTCCTCCGTTGTTGAAGTTCAGAATGGTAACGGAGCATGTTTTGGTTACGCCGTCTTTGAACTCGAGCACGTCGTTGTTTATGCCTGTGGAAATGCCCCCGAGTTCAAACACTTTGATGGGAAGATTTTTCTTGACGATTTCCATGTCTGTGAACGAAACCGTCACGCGAAGATTGAGTGGAATTAAACGAGTTTGTGTGTCGGCGTCCGCGCGGATTTGTAGTTTAACAAAGTCTTGCATGAAAAACATGGACCCCAAGTGTGAATATTGCACCTCGCCAAGAGAGAAATCGCATGGAAAGGTGTCTGGCGAGAGAAACCCCACTCTTTGCGATAAAGGGTCAGTTCTTAAAACTTCAACCTTACATGTGGCTCCTTCAGGGAACGTGATTTTCAGATCGCGCACTGGATCCAAGAACACAGATCGCCCCAGTTCCACAGTTATCGGCTCCAACTTTGCCACGAGGCGAAATCCACGACATTCTAACACAAACTTGAGTAGAAAGGCAAAACGTAATAGGCCTAGGGCTCCACACATTGTTTTTGACTCTCGTGAGATGCTGCGACTCTACTAGCTGTGATTTTACTGCCCCGGTCACCCACGAGTCTTGCTCTCCTTCACTTTACAATGGCTTTGACCAAACACTTTCTACCACGGGTTAATGATGTTACCGGAAACCGACTTGAACAAAAGTTTATTATATCTGGGACATCAGCGCTCAAAAAGATTCAATTTACACCTCTATCTGCCGGACCTCAAATTGACACGGCTAGTCGATTCGCACTTTGAGTGTAGTATGTTGGCAAAATATTATGCAAACTCGCTCAGACCACCTGGTAGCGCTATTCAGTCGAATAACGCTACAACTCAGTCCCTAAGGCTGTTATAGCTGCTGAGTTCGGCTTAATGAACGGAAGTACATTTGGGAAATATCAGGTTCTAGACGAGGTTAATAAATGTCTGGCAAAGTTAACTGTCACGCTCTTATTAGCATTAGGGATTGTGAGAAACGATTTTTCAATTCTCTTTGTGTCCCAGCCGTGAGGCCAACAAATAAGCCAGTCAATTAGGCGGCGATTAAATCCCTTCGATTCTTGAAATTTCGTTTTTTTGTGCGGCGCCAGCGCACGCTGCTAAATATGCCAAACATCTGCTAATGCGCTTGAAGAGTTACCACGTAGATAAGTTTCTTAAACTCGGCTTAAAAACACAATAAAAATAAAATGATATTTCTCATTGTTTGCGTATCCTTTGTGTTGTTGTCAAGGGTTCAGGAAAACCTCCCATGTATTAAGTATTTAATTTGCCATTCAAAGAGCGAGGCGCAAAAGTTCCCTAGTGGTGACGGAATCACACTCGGCTGCCGAAGGTTTGTTTACCTTCATGTGGAAACCGCAGACTAAATTTTCGCATCTTTTTTTCATTATCACCGCAGGAAGCTCGCAATTTCAACAGGGCATAGTGAACAAAAAATCTCCCCAGGTTGAACTGTAACGAAACGCCTTCTACAGACTACCGACGAAGTCCTTTTTTTCTTTTTGTTCTATTGAAGGCTGCTTTAAGGGAATTTAAGGTAGAATTTCTGAACAAGGAATCTCGCCTTACTTTTCTCTCCAGTTATTTACGTCCTATACGACAAAACTGAGGCTGCTCAAAGATTTTCACGTAGTAGACAAACTCATTAGCACGGGAGATTAGTTGAAATAAGATTTGAGGCTATAGACAGGGCTATTTTACCTCGTTAATATGTCGATAATAAAGTGCGACTCGGCGGATTTGACACGAGCAAGAGAGATGTGCTCGATTAGCCCCGGGAGATGGTCCAAAGCTTCACCGCTCCGCCCATGCCCTAAATTTTATCAGACCAAAAAATAAGCTACATCAGATTTCTGAAACTCGGTATCCCTCTTAACTGCGATTTCGGCAGATTCCTTTCAGAACCAGATGTTCTTTTAGTGACAAGGAATTCCAAACAGCTCCGCAGATCATTTGCTTTGCTTACCGAGAAAATAAAGGGACGATTGAATTTAGTATACTATGAACTCGTTTCAGTTTTTGACGCACTCACTCTGTTTCTCTTATTTAATCAATGGATCAAAAATCAAATCGAAACGAGAGCTGTGGTGATATTTTCCAAACGCTCTTGCTCTGGCTATTTCCTTTCGATTGTTACATTTTACAAAATCTCTTGATGGATATACCATGTGATGACACTCATGCCACAGGATGAAATCTGTGTTGGCGTGGAAGGTATTAAAAGTTACGAAGAACAAGGACTTTGCATACAATGGCTGACTTTCTGCCCTGAACATCGATAAGTGAGTCCACAATTTGCAATTTGATAGAGCAGGCTTCTCTTAGTTTTCAACATCATATATTTGTTAAGCATCGATCGAACAGATCTAAATAAATTGACTAATTGAGTGGAACGTTGCAAGTTTCATTGTAAGCGAAAACAGACATGGAGATCATTTCCTATCTAGGGGGGCGTTGAGTTGTCGGAAATTTAGGAGTTTTCAAGTTAAAAGGCTTTAAATTTAGCACAGAAAGGTATGTGTCAAATTAATATGAAAAATTGTAGGAGAGATGTATTATCTCTCAATAACTAGCTTCCACAAAAATTCGAACGGAATGTGGCTGAGATCAAATCCATTCCACGAGGGTGGAGCTGACATTTTTAAAAGTTCAGGACTGAACCAGAAATTGACGGATAGCTCAAGAAACATCGTCAGCTAAAAAAGCACCCTTTTATAAAGATTCAGCCGTTTACAAAACTTTCAAAGAATTGCACTTTGAATATGACATCGCGTGTTCCCAGAGGATGGAAACTAAACCCTGGATTGCCTGCGGGTCACGGATCGGTAAACGGCTGTCAAGAGTTATTCCTCTCTGTTCTAAACATGACAAGTCAGCCCCGTGTGAAAGTATCAAACTTATCAATTTATTTTGAGATCTTAAGGTGCAAAGTGAATAAATGCGATTTTATACGGCGGCTTCATTAAATCACGTCTTCGTGCATGAAGAGTCACTCTGCTGTAAGCTCGACAAACTCTGTTATTATGTATGTAACCCATTTAGTTCAATCTCATCCAATTTGAGTTGATCTCGTGTGTGTTTGTCGGCTTCTTTACGTTTTGTTTGTGTTAATCAGTGTTCTAGGGCATGTTTGGTCAACATTTAATTGTATTTAAAAACCGTTCTCGACATTCAACCTTCGCGTGACTGGACGGAAGATCTAATTTAAACTTTAAGATAATAATCAGCGCTGTGTATGAATTAAAAAAAAACACAACATGTGTGACCACACCTTTTGGTTTCAATGGGTTTTTCCGTCGATCACGAGAAAACAACTTTTTTTGATTAACTAATGAAGTAATATTGTTTTCCGCCCAACAAAGCCACTTCCGACGTAACCGAGAAGTTTCTACCGCATACCCCTAATCGTTTCTTTCATCTTTTTGTTGCTAATTTTGCCGGGCTCTTAATATACAAACTAGGCTTTAAGATCTCTTTATAACCTTGTAAATCTCAAGACTTAATTTATAATTCTCTCCTCTTACCGTATACATTTTCTCTAACTAGCAAACTTAAACTGTAAAAAGTGATCGATTCGTCCATTCTCATACATAGTTTATGCTAAAAAATTTATGAGTACCGCAAAGGTACGTCATACGTTCGTCATCGACCAAAGGCCAGCGTAGAGGTAAAAGAAAAACCAAACTCAAAGTTTTTCAATGCTCACTTTGTAAAACTGACCGGCTGATCGGAGATAACGTATCTTAGGCGTAAATTAGGTGTGAAGTGTCGGTATTACCAAAATACTCATCTGTAAATACAACAAAATTTTAAGAAACACATTAAAGCAAGTTCTGCCACTATCCTTTTCCCCAAATTTGTGGTTTTGCGGCGGGTGTTATTTGTAAGACTAAAAAAACAACATAAGCCTCAGGGCACGGAAAGTTTTGTTTACTACAGACCCCCAACGTAATTTCCCACCTCTCTGATTAATGCCTACGTATAAAAACTACCTTTATATCCTTTGGAACACTCCCTCGTGGAACAAAACAAAATTCGATGTAAACAAGCATGTAACTCGTGCACAATTCATCGCAGTAGATTCTTAAAATCAATACTGCGATACAAAAGTTACTCAAAGAGATGACAATGAACTATCAACTGCCAAGACTTTGACTCTGAGACTTATGTCAAGTACTTGAGATCCTTTTGGTATGGATCATTAGAAAATCAAGAGGGGAAGAAGACAAAATATTAAACAGAACAGAAATGCGAAAACAAAGAAATCATTCAGAAGCGGGATCCACGTGATTAAAATATGGATGGGCTTTTTAGGCACCTTAGTTCCACGCGAGAAAAAAATTGGAGCAAGGGATTTTAACGAAATCAATCGGCTGCGCGCAACTTGACAAACCGTTCAACCTTGAAATATTCGCAGACAATAATTTAACTGCACGAAAGCTGGTGATTGCGGAAACAGCTATTTAAAGGTTTGAAAAGCGATGAAATTGATTTTAACAGTCGTTTACCTACACCGCTAAATTAATGGCCGCAAATGATCACACTTGATAACACTCAAACAATGTGAACTTAATGAGAAAAATGATCATAAATAGAGCTTTGACAGTCGTGATTTTCGCAAATCAATTCTGGTTCTATTTTAAGCCCAAGGTGAACAGACGCGCACGCACATTTCTTAGTCCGCTCGTGGATCCACGCACGAGACACGAAACTACGTGCAAACTATTTCGTTTGCTTTGGCGCTTATTCCCTTCATCGATGAACTTTTCATCGGTTGAGAAACTCATTTTGATGATGGACTACAAGCGTAGCTGATAATCAAAACTTTGCGTGCTTTCATGGCTATTAACTTAATTGTAAGAAGATATATTACCACTTCAGTTTCCAATGGAGGTAATGTTCTTTTTGTCATATTAACTACTGTCAATTTTCTGGTTGGAAAATAAAGCCTCGAGGTTAATTGATTAATAAAAAAAAATTAAAACATATTTGACCCTAAAGGTTATCGTTAACGGCAACTAGTGAAGATAAAAAAAGCTTAACCATCGATCAGCTTGAAGCCTCTAAGAGTTTACTATCCTTGTCCTAAATAAGATTCTGTGGTGTATTTATTGCTCAAGAACTCTCGAGAAAACTAGTCGCTTACATAATGCATTTAAAAGAGTTTCCGTTGCGGGAGTCCAAGGTCTGCCCTTGACCGAAAACCTCCATTATTCCAGCTAATCTTGCGTATCTTCGCTAGAATGCATTCCTGATCCACAAAGTCTGATTCTCCTTGCTTTTCATACGTAAATGTGGTTGTTAGCTCAAACCTTCCAACCTGCACAATTTATCATTTCTCTTTGTGATTATCACGTTTATATTACAAAAGCTATAAGTTGGAGTGCAGTTTGTACTTACGTGATGTGGTTTGATTTCAACCTTGTTTAGAATATAAAGAACAGCGTACTTATGTTTTTATTCATTTACATCACTTCTCTCTCTGATAACAGGTGGATTTTTGACTTAAACTCGTGCGCGAACAACAGTGACAAGCAGCAGTGTTGACAAGAGGACAATCTATCGAGAGAAATGATAAATTGACGACAATCGCTCTGACGAAGGGCTAACGCTCGAAACCGGTCGGCCTTTTAACTCTTTACGGTGGCCAATTTACGTTTTCAACTCAGTTGTTATCACTAAATTACCTGAGTGTTGACGAGAGACGAGGATGTTAGAATTTACCATTGAAGAAAAAAGTGACCGATCTTTTTCACTCAGCAAGAAATAACAAATAGTTGTTGTTTCGTGATTCCAAAGAGACGCCATCTAACAAAGTAAACTGTAAAAGAATGTGATAGGTAATTTCTTTTGGCTCTCAGACTTGAGGGTCGGCCGAGCGGAAAACATATTCAGTTCCAACTATTTATGCTCTCTTCCTGATAACTTTGAGTAACAAGGCGCCCGTTTTTTCTTAATTCATTAACAGCAGAAAAGGTCGTAGGCATGCTTGAATTCAGATGTCTTCATATTTATTCTTTGCCTGCACTTAAGTTCAAACCTGGTAAATAACAATTTATTTTGTCTTTCTTAAAGCAACATGTACCGCTGGTATTTGCAAATGTCAGTAATACTTACAGAGGAGTCATGGTAACCAAATAGTATCCTGACTCAGTCTAAGACGATAACCAGCGTGGCCAGAAAGCTAAAACAACAGAAAAACATGAACTGATTAAACTGAATTAAATTACGATCACCGATACCTTGCAGTGCAAGAGCCAGCTTAGCAAAATCCATCCAGTCTTGCGTCTGCAAGATTAAACATGCTGGGAGCAGGAAGAACGGTAGATATGATCGGATTTTTATCTAGCTCATTTTTCTAGCCACAAAGCCACAATTTTCGGGTCTCCTTACATCTTATGGGGTTTTATCTGAAAGACTAGAATGCCAATAAAAGAAGGATTTATTGCATAGTTACCAAACAAATAACGCCAAGGGAAGTTATCCATTGATTACAATAGTACTGAATGATAACAATTTCTTTCTCTCTAAGGAAAGCTTTAAGGCTATGGAGGTTGTAGGGTGAGGAATATACGGGAATGAGAGAGAGAGGGTGGCATCTGTAGCTAAGGCCGGATTTCGACCAAAGCAGTTATGAAGAAAAAATTCAACGTGAATTAATTAATTTTAGGCTTACTCGGGCTGAATTACTCTTCGGCACTTGCTTCTCAGTTGGACGTGTGAGATTATCCGGAAGACAGCAGAAAATATGCATGAGACCGTAAAATGCATCCATGATTTAACCCTAACCATCTTAACCAAATCAGCCCTACTTCCCGAGCCGTTCATTTCCCGAGCTGACTTCCGACTTCCCTTCACGCCCCTGCTTTTTTCAGAAGTGAGTCTCACTCGTTTAATCGCACAGATGAATGAATGCTGCCGAAAATGACGTTTTCCTTGCATATGTTTTGTTGCCCTTTAATACAGAATATCAACTATTTTACAGACCAATATCCTTATCGGTGCACTCCATCACAATTTTCCAAGATTTTTAATGACGTAGCCATGGTAATCGACACAGACTTCAAAGGTGAACGCCACCATTCGTCGGCCGATCTTGCCGGTGAAAATTTATGCTGGATGAATCAAGTTTGTCATTTTCAATTTACCATCTTCGTCCTTGTTGGTTATCGCTTCAGGTTTACTGAACTCCAGCAGCACTCAAACAATCCAAATTCATATTTCACTGAAAGGCACTTTTCTAGTTTAATATGAACGTGTACGTATTCCTGTAGTTTTGATTGCCTTCATTCTTTAACTTTTTGTAAGGAAATCGCATGAAGTACGACTTGCAGTGACTTTTTCATTAAACCTTTATTTAAGTAGACCTTATTTTCCGGTGTGAGAGTGTTCTTGCTGAGTTAATAGTCATCACTTAGTTTCAATCAAAGATTGGCTTTACAGCACTGAATTTTGTAGCGTCTTTTTTCCTCCGCGAGAAATCTCTCAAGTAGCTCTTTCAGCCTTAGCTTATACACTTGAAAACTTGCCCGAATACTTAAATTTATCTACCTTACAGATTTCGATTTTTAAACAAACATTAAGCTGCTGTAAATATGCCGCTATTTCTTGTCATCCTCGACCACGCATGTCTTAGCATACCATCACTATTAATTCCTCACTTCTAATGATCCAACAAATTTGCTAAACTGATTCATTCCACAACATGCAGAGGGTCTCGATTGTGAAGAAATGGCATCCTGTTCATGCTCTGATTTGTTTCAAAGTAAAAAAAACGTGTCTCTTTCTTATTCTCCACTTTGAATCGTCCCCGATACGGTGAATTGAATACTTTGCGAGAAATTAAACTGAGACATCCGGCTTTGTTCAATCTCGCTTTTTCCTAGTGTCGCGCAAAACCAGCAGGGAGTCGTTTAAGAGTAAATACAAGCCATATAGAACAAAAATATAGAATGGAATCTAACGTTTATCAACTTGCTAAGAGAGGTCAATTCCTATTATTTTGCTCCAAAATCCACTAAGAGACGACAGGCGCCATACTTCAAATCCAATTTTCCTTCCTTCTGAGGCAATAAATAGTAAAGTAAATTAAATAATTTCTGAGTTAGGGTAGAACCATCAAGTAGAACTATAAACTATCAAGATATCTGCCTTTTAAAAGGTTTCAAGAAAGCTAGGCATTCCATTGGGCCGCAGCGCTCGGTAAACCTTGATACGAAATTTGGTAAGTCGGCTGAACATGAAATTGCTACAGTGAACATTTCTTATCAGCGACTGATACTGTTATAAATAAATCCTTTGCTAAGAACAGATTTTCTGATCAATATGGAAAATGTGACGGAGTGACCTTCCATTACACCAGAAGTAACAAGCTGCTGACAGCACAGCTTGGCTATTTCCAAAGTGAATTCCAGTGTCTAGACAGACTAGAAGAGGTATACTACTCTGAAAGGCTTTGCTTCTTCAGATCGAATTCCAGTCTCTAATAAAGCCAACTATCACACTTGAACTCGCGAATACGCCAAAATTCCATACTGAGGGTTTGAAAATGGAGGAAGAGGGAACGTAAAAAAGGGAGCGCGTTCTTTCCACGTGATTCCTTTATTATTTAAGTAAACTAGCGGCAGGCAAACAAAATTTGCAACCTCCATAGAAGGGTCACTGAATGGGCTCCCGCTGCCACACACCACCAACATAACAGATGTGACTTTTACTGATGGAATAGCCACGACTCCTGATTTGGAGCTCAGTAATCAACCATTATTTTGTGAGACAACTTTATGATATCAAATATCTGATAAGTGTTCACTGGTGCAACAAATGGATCGATGCAAATATGCATCTGTGCTGCACAGTGCCAGGGAAAGCGTTAAATTGCAATTCGCTCGAAACTCGATAAAGGGGCCCGTTTCTCTGAAGTCTTGCTGACTTAAAGGGCCTCAAGTCATATTTGAAAATAAAAAGTTAAAGAATAAAGAGGCAGGCTCTGGCACCCAAGCCATGTAGTACATTTTGTTTCTTTAGCAGCTAGGGGTGGCTGTCGAGGTGGAGCAGTAAACCACTTAATTGGCGCGGCGAAGTATTTATTTGCCTCGATTCAGAATAACTCTACCCTCCTCTGAGAAAACTTATAACAATATCACAATTCTATTCAAATAACACAGGGTACGCGAGTCAGGAAGGTTGAGTTAACATCCTTTGGTCAGGAAATGATCCCCGCATCTGCTTATCAGCCAGGCCACACCCCCCAATCACGAATGCCTCAAACTAACAACCTTTAACCACTTGTTTTGGGAAAATTAAGCGACCTAACAACTACTCCCCGAAGCAGAAAACAGAAATGTTATATTCGATGTCCTACAATGTGAACCCTTAGAACCCAAGGAGTGACAAGCATCTAATTTCTCCTTACAATATCATCTCAAATTCACCATTAAGGTCACAAGAAGAAAATGACGCCAACCAATGAGGCACTTGATTAGTAGAAAAGTTCTCCTCATCTTCTCTAAAGGAAATGTGTAGATAACAGTATGGAGAATATGCATACTGATGTCAGGGTGCAAAGGGTTAAAGATATAGTACAGTTCCATTAGTTCTCCCAGGAATTAAAAAGATATTTACGTGAGAAAACAACAAAAACGAAACTTTGCCGGAGAAAACCTGTTTTACTAAACTTTCACCTCTGAATACAAAGTGACAATCAACTGATCATGCATTTATTTCTTTCAAATTACGACATTAACTCAACATGAGAAATCTATATCAATAAATTAAAATTAATTTTGACAATACTCATCTTACAAAACAACGCACACAAAATTGTGCATAATATTAATGTCAGACATTCCCGCGCAAATGTAACCTTTCAAGTCAATCTGCTTTAAGATAAGTAAAGGAACAGTTAACTAACTCCAGAGCCATACACAATCAGACTGTGTATCATGATGTATAGTCTTTAACAAGCCTAATAATTTCCTTCAGTTTTTCCACCAAGAAAAGCCAACTGCACCTTTACAATACCTTGTGGAATCTTCTCATTGTAGGAAAAAACAGATTAAAAAATCCTCAAGAGTCAAGATGCTAAAGCTTTCAACCTGGTTAAGACTAACTTGGATGTACACCGCACAGAATTCAAGAATGACATTTTGAAGTGCTTGCTTTCAACTGTCATCAGACAGGAAAGCATGCAAAACAAAATGCAGGCCGACTACCTTAGTTTGGTTTTCTCACAAATATTGACTGATACATATACATACATAATTGTTCCACCTGCAATAACCAGTATAACAAAAGTTTAAGTGCTAACAGACACAGTACATAACTAATGAAGGTGGACAGTAACTCCTGGTAATAGCTACACTTCAAAGAATCTACAAAAGTAGCCACAGTAGTTTAGTAATCACACTCGGGCATAACTACAACACTACCCAAAGCTACGAAATTTAATTTAAGAATCTAGAAAACGCATCTCCCAGGAACGAGATTAAACATCTACAAATTGACTAAGCATGCTCACCCTGAGTGAATTCAACTTAAGTGGCAACCCATACATCAAAACATGGTAAAATGTCTCAGTACTTAAAACTATCTGAATATCAAGGTTGAGAAGGACACAACAAGTGACTAATTCCCATAACAAAATAAATTTCAAACGTTGACATTGCCAACACCAGATGTAATGATTGCAAATGTCAGGCAAATTCAATTAAGCTCATATCTAAGAAAAGTCTAGCAGAGATCGAGTTAAGTGTTGTTTGAAAACAGGAGGGATTGGCGTTAGTCACTGAAGTTCACGTGTATAACATCTGTACGAGCAGAAAATAAAGTAAATAATCAATATACATTCTTCCAACAAGTCTACCTTGCCTTCATTTAAAACTGATATATAACACCTTTACAGTGGATGTTGTCTAGTGAAATCTGTACCAACAAAACACTGTTGAAAATAGATATAAGCCAAACAAATAGGGATATGACATGCTTCTATCTATTGTAAACAGTGCAGTGAAAATACAGACCGTCAGCATTCTCTTTTACTGTTTTTTTTGTTTGTTTGTTTTTAATTATGAAAGAAATAAACTTATTATAATAAAATTGCCTATAAGAATTCTATAACAATAATTAATATAATTTAATTTACATATTCAAATGTGACCTACAAATTACAAAGCATCCCTGAGAGATATTGTTTGAAGTTCACTTGAAGCTGTTCCTTGGTGCCAGCAGTTCTTGATGAACGAAAGGCTTGCAGAAGTAGAGTGTCCTTTCTTTTGATGTATTCACATAATTCCTAGAAACAAATTTATTTTTAGCCTACTAGGAATACCATGTAAATCCTTTTATTCACTGACCACTCAAGCTGACAATTAACTGCTCAAGTACCTTGACGTGCTCTGTAGAAAGCTCTCCATTTTGATGTAGCTCACCAATTTGAACACACAAAGCCTGCCAGTCTGAAAACAAGATTACAGATTTAACCATAATAGACTATGAGCTTGAAGAAGTACAGGTGAAATGCATCATTGCTATGCAGGTTCAAGAGATAGATAATTCACCTACAGTACCACTCACATATATGTTAACTGCGCCAATGAATTTCATATGTTCAAATCACCACCAACACACATCCATGATATTACTCATAAACCAAAAATTGGGTAGAATTTACTTTAACCCATGCCTTACCTTGCTCCTCATTCACTGTGGGCACTAGCACTGGTGCAGGCTCCACGATTTCTTGAGGCAGGTTGTCCATCACAACCTGCTCAACCATAGGGTTAAACAGATCCACTGTAATAACGTTTTCTGTAGCAGTAATGGGAAGGCTTGGATGCATTTCTACTTCCTCAACTAGCAAGTTTACCCTAGGTTTGGGTTTGTATGTGAACTCAATAGGTTCACTTGATTTTGCATCTCTGCCATTTCCAAATGTTACCACTACGTTAACAGTGACGGGAGAGGTTATTTCAGTATCACAGTAGGCTGGAGTGAGAACCACTGCAGCACCCTTGAAAAATAAAAAGCAGACATAAGGTTATTGGCAATGTTTTATCATCTAAATGCAATCATGTCATTAATGGTTTAATTCCTGTTGTCTAGATTTTCACATAATCTTGAACACAAACACATTTATTTAATCATTTATTTCTTAATATAAGCATATTTGACAAAATCAGAAAGATTTCTTTTTCATCACTAAACCCCAGAGGCTTTGTCTCAAGACAAGAACCATGCTTGAATAATCTATTTATTTAATCGTGCCCAGTAAATTCCAATTAGCTGGCCTCAAGATTCTCAAGAAGCTCACCTGATGTGACTTACTCTTGTCGATTTCAGCAAAACTCTCCCAATTTTCTGAAATGATAAAAAAGTTTACAATTTAAATTAAGTTCCAAAAATGTGTTTTGCTCTGAAACTTGAGATGGTGCTAATAAACCTCTCCTCCCCTTAAACTCCCCACTCCACCCACCACAGCACCCACCCAGGCAAAGAGGATACCATGCTAGCCATCATCAAGCAGCCAAGTGAAAGTATGGGTGCAGAAATTCAATGCTGCAAGCTTGGCTGCTTCATGATCACACTAACAAAGAAGCCACTACAAGGACGGCAGATAACTTGTACAATACACCTACTTAGCCATAAAAATGAAGAAAATTTATTAAGAAAAAAAATAAAGGCATGACTTGAAATGGTAAATCAATACAACAGTTATATTTTTGGATATTTTTATTGGATCACATTTCTGTTTGTTAGCTTGTTTGTTTTTACATGATAGGAATAATTTGATTGGAGATCAAAAATGATCATGGAAAGAAAAAAAAAAGGAAAAACTAAATTGGCCTTGGAAGTTTGTTTCAATTTCATCATGGTTCATAAACGGTTCATGGTTCAAATTCATTCCATAAAACAACAACTTTAATCTAACACACAGCACAAAAGAACAACACACACCACCACGATAGTCCATAAGCTCCAAGGCATATATATTTAATGGAATTATCTGGTATCTGGGTTCAGGGTTCATCTTTAATTGGTCTTTTTCTTATGTGTCCAAACAGTGGGTGCTCTTCGACTGAGGACATATGCCTTGGAGTTTGCAACTGCCATTCCTTGCAAGGCCAAGAGTACAAGTTGTAAAAATGGGAATAAAAATAGAATCATGAGGTCCTCCCTAGCCCTTCATGCACCAATGGCAACTAACAGAAGATTAACAACCAACATCACTCACTGTCTCTAAAAGAACATAATGATGTAAATCAAGCGAGACTTACATGCAGGTTACACTGGGTTGAGACTGTGCATTAATATAGTGCAATTAATAAGGGCTAAATGTTGGTTATCCATCCTCTACATAGGTGCCAAGAAGGAGATCTCTCCATGTTTAGCCATGGGAAAAATTTGCCAATCAAAATTTCAAGACAAAATGTATATTTCTGAAACAGACTTTCCAGTCCCAAGGCAAAACACAAAGAGAGGCAATTGAGAAGTCTGAACCAGTATAGTTTGTCCACACAGATTGGTTACTGTTACGATCTTGTGTCACAAACAACTTGGTTCAAACTGCTGATAAATGAAAATAAACATGGAATATGCTCTGGCCTTTGATAGAGGGTGAACCCAACTTTTTCAAACTTTCATCACAAGGATGCCAAACAATAATGCCCCTGTTCACCATATTTCAAGTAGGGAATATTTTGACTGGGAAAACTGAACTATAGTCACGTAATCCGCGAAATAAAAACTGTGTTCTAAGGACAATTTAGTATGAATTTTCAAGAAAGAATAATTCTTAAACTTCATTTCCAGAAGCCAATGTGTGGATGCTGATCAGCACAGCCTCAATATTGTAAAATCAACTGGTGATTACACTTTCTTCAAGAAACCTCCCTGTAAAAGCTGGAACACACCTCTACAAAGGCACAGCAATTTCCAAACAAGAAAATAAACCGAATACAAAGTAAAAAGACAAAATACTTGTCTCACTGTGCAACTGTGGAGATAAAATTCATGCGCAAATGTCTTCCACTGTAATGAAGTGTTAGGTTGTCGACTGGACCCGCAATAATTGCTCACACATTGCTTTAAACAAACACTGTTTACCATGACTTCTCATAAAAGCACTGCTTTTACATTTCTTTATTAGATGTATTTAAACTCTTTTGCCAAAGAGATGAAATGGTTTGTTTCAAAGCAGCATACAATTGAGTGTTGCAGTTCCATTATCCCCTTATTATGGCACCTCTCAGTAAATAATTGGTTACTTGTTTATATTGTCTACAATTTATTATCAAACTGAAATTGTGAAAAATATTTGAACCAATTGCATGATCAGAAGTTATTCAAGGATTAAAATTTTACCTACAAAACTCTGAAAAAATTGTACAATTTTTTTAAAACTGATTTTTGAAAGAATATTGGTCAACTTTACACCTGATTTCCAAACCTAGCATGAACTACTTCAACAGAATAATTGACCTTAATAACAGGGCTTAAAATTTGCCATCTCCATTTTTATTTTAAAAGTGTTGCATCCTCATCCAAATCCTAGCAACATGCAGGAGGTTGACAACATGCAGAGGGTTTAATACACTCGCTACCCAAGTTTTTTCCAGTTCAGTGGTGACGCAACCAAACCACTAGTAACAATGATTACGCCAAAATCAGCTATTGAACACCATCTTTCAAAATTAACTCTGATTATTTCTGTTTTCTTTATAAAAAGGGGTGGAACAACAATCTCAAAGTCACACTGAAGAGAAGCCTGGTAAACACTGTTTTGATGAAACTGAAACGTTTTTGAAACTTTTTCTTGACACCCTTTGCTCCCAAAAGGAGCCCAAAAATGAAACACAATCCTGATACAATCACAGAAATTGAGAAAAACAGGTCATATTGACACCAGTGAGACTAAAAGGATCAAAAGTTTGGTTTCATGCATGCCATAAGGGTCATTAGAATACAGCTTGCTACACGAAATGGAACATCAACTTATTTTGCATCAAAATTATCTCTTTCTGCACATATGAAGCACCATGAAATTGAAATTCAGTTCTAGATAAGATAGAGAAGAAAACTAAAGGAGAAGAGAAGTTCTTGAATATGAGAGTAGGTTTCTGGTCTACAGAAATGCAGGCCGAACAATCAAACTACTTTTATTTCAAAACGATTTTAGAGATAGATGACACCGAGCACCTGTATAACACAGCTTCCACCGGTAAAAAAGCAATTATGTGAGCAATGTCCATTGCGGTCAATACAGTGTCAACTCTGGAAGCGCAATAACTGCAATCAGCGTTAAAAACCTTACAACCCCCCCTCCCACAACCCTATGGCAACCCCAAGACAGTACTTTGCACAGCCAACCTATTAGCTCCTTCCAGCTAATTTTCCTTCTGACAAATCAGAAATTTGACAATGACAACAAGAAAATGTTTGCATATTTTGATGACTATTCTCTTCAGCTTTCAAAGAAAATGGAACCCAAGCATTGCTCTGCAAGGCTTTGAGGTACATTTTATTTCACAATTGGCTTTGCAAAGTTCTTGACATTACACCCAAAAGTAACTGACATGCCTCTGTGTCTGATCTCCATTGAAAATCCCCTATATAAATACAAGCCCAATTAACATGTTCCACATTAAGAACAGTTAAGTTGGCGATACTTGGAATGTCTCTGGTGAATACAAGAACAGTGTTTATCTTGGTGTGCTTTCTTCCCTAAAATCAAGAATACAACAAGCCAAAGAGAATTCAGCCTTCTGATCAAATGGAATTTCTTCTCTTGAAACAAGTTTCAAAAGCTAACATTTTTTATTTCACAAATATTTTCAAATATGCCACAAGGTGAGTAAATTATCACCCACAGAGCTCAAATAATTTCTAGCCAGACTTTGCTATTTATATTTTCATTTTGTGTGGCCTTTAAATATTCATTTAACAACATGTAACAATTTGAAAGCCAAGGAAAATGTGTTTTTTTAGAAAGGAAAGGGTGTTATTTCTCATAGCAACCTGCCAATTCTGGGACCTGTGTTCTAAAAAACTCCATGAATGAAATTCAAAGAAACGGCTCAGTAAATTTATCTTCGATGTTTTTTAAAATGTGTCATTTTATAATTTCTTTGAATATTCTTAAACAGGAGTAGGCAAACACTGGAATTCAAAAAAATACTGGGAGAACTACTAAAGTGCTCTTTCCTCATTTCTCCACAAGTAATGCACCTAATTACAGCAACATTATCAGAGAAAAACACAAAAAAGAAAGGGCCAAATTGGAAGTAATTAGCATCTAGCATAAGCATTTCCAAACATTTTTTTGGGAATCACTTGAACTCTCTAAAGCACATCTGATACTCAAAAGAAGCTTGAAATAAATTCTGTGAAATTTGTTTAGCTTTCTAGTACAAAGCAAGAGGTAGTTTAATTAATGCTAATAAGTTCCTTTAGGCTTTTTCCTTTTTCTAGTATTTTTTCCTGCTACAACATTACTGCAATTAGGTTTTCATATTTACTACACAGTCACAAGCTTCACTGAGTCAAATTTGTTTTACTCTATATTCTCTGGGCTTGCAAAGGATGTGAAGTGACAGCAGACACACTGCACATGATTAAGAGTTTGAAATGTCACAAATGAGATGCTTAGGCAGCAGAAAAGGGTAACCATCAACTGACCAATTTTTATTTCATTATAAATTTTTTTTTGGTTTACATGTTCAAATATCAATTTTCAACAATTTTTTCCAACATTGATGGTATGCATCAAGCTCACTCTGAGGCAGAGTGCTATTGTCAGGACTACTATTAAAGAGCTCTGATCAACACAGCAATCTTGGAGGTTTGATCCCTGACTTTTTTTCTTACAGAATTTTTTTTTTAAAACTGGCCAATCACCTTTGAAGAAAATTCAGTTTCTTCCAGCTTGTGTTTCAGTTCTATATTCCTAACCAAAAGTACTGCACCTATGCAGATGAGCTTGGCATTGCATCAACTTGTTTATAATGAAAGAGCAATGTAGAGCAATGATAACTGGTTTGCCAAGTGACACTTGAAAACATTCGTGTTTACAGCCGAAATAAGTGCACACCTCTAGTATTTTATAAAATCCAACTCATACTCCTTGTCACCCAACCTCCCAAAATGAGCCCAACCCAGCATCAAATGACAAGTGAACTTAATTCACCCCAAGGAGAATTTCACTGAGATCAGCCACTGGTAAAGAAATAAGCTCAAACAATTAACAACTTTTTCATTCTGAAAGAATTGAAGTGCTCAGGTCATAAACAAATCTCAAATACAGAATTTTTTTTGTTGCAATAAAAGCAAGATGATTATCTGTTCCAGTTTCAAATTCACAAATTTAGGTAATGAGGCATGTCAGTTGATAATATTACACCTATTTAAAGCTGGGATATCAAAGTACAATGCCAATCAGTCTCTCATTTGAAGGTGTTTCTGTTCATTTAAACTGTAATTTCTGTGTTTGCAAACTTCATGGGTTGACAAGTAAGTAAATGGACTAACTGACATTTTGTTCCTTAAGTGTTTCCAATTCAATCTTTGTAATGTTGCATTGTAATTTCATTCCCAGTAATCACAAGAACAAAAGCAAAGAGTTTATCATTCTTAGAATTTGCTTTAAGTCAGTCAATACATTGCTCATGTTCGAGGTGAAGCATCACTGACAAAAAGCAAACAATGTGTGAACTTAACACCTTGATTTCATTCTTGTGATCAAGTTTTCATCTGCATTTCTAACCAAAAAAAAGAAACTTAGCCTACCAGAGGAATTCACTGAGTAGAATCGCACTTTAAAACCTAGAAATGGAAAAAATAAAGAGACCTTTATTACAAAGGGGTTTTCATCATGAAATCTCTTGGTAGGAGAATCATACAAAGAAACAAGAGCATATAGAGCAAACAACCAAAATTTAGCCTAAACACTTCCCAAAAAATTTCCATCAGCCTGCCCAATGAGCACCCTAGCGGATGTTTACTTGACAAGAATTCCACACATCTTTCAAATAATGGTTGCCTTACCTGATTGAAACTTTTTTCCAATCAGACCCAGTTCATCACCACCCTCAACAGAACCCTCACTTGTACTGGCCCACCAAATTTCTGGATTACCAGGAGGACCAGCTGAAATAAATAAAAGACACTTCATCAGGTTGATGGATACTGTCAAGGTTTGTCAATAAAACTTAAAATTTGAAAAAGAGTCTTTCAACAAGACAAAATTCATTACATTCCATTGTTGTAGGAAACTACTCACAAGAACTACACTGGAACACCTTAGATTTGCACGTCAGTTTAACAGTTGGATGGCCATTGTTCTCTGGCAACTCTGCCTGAAACAACAGTCTTGCTTCCTTGCGTTCTTTCTTCCAGGTTCTTGGATCAATTCCTCTTTTCCTCAACTCTCTGTCACCTTCCCAGTTTCGCAGTCTACGGATGCTCAATGAGTCAAGCCTGAGACATGTCGAAACATGAAATAGTTAGGTGTCATACTGCTGTAACCAAGATAAAAATTTTTTTTATTTACAAACTTGTACTCATGAGGTACTTACACCGCAGTCATATTGGTATCTGGAGCAACCATAACTTGAACAGCAGGTACTCCACCAGGTAGAGTAGTCTCTTTACATGGTACCTTAGTAGAGCCAGGTCCATGAATGGAATGGTAATGTGGCATGCCACTACTAGTTGTCAGATGCACTGTGATCCACACAGCTTGATCATATCCTGTAATCTAAAAATGAAAACCACAGTTTCAAATATCACAAAACCTTTCTAACCCACCTGGGAACACAAAACAAACTTTATTCAAAAATAAAGCCAACTTACCTTAACAGCAGGGAAAGAATTGTCCTGAGAGCCATGAATAGGACCTCTGCATCCTTCACTTTCATATCTGGCTCTGTAGTTCTGCACAAATGGATAAATGAATTGTCAGTATGCTGAAGTTGAAAAATGGAAAATAATGAAAAACAGAACTTTGCAATGCACAGGACATTCTGAGCAGAATGAAAAGAAAAACAAGGAAAATTACTTCAGGAATCCAAGAAAAAAATACCTCTTCAGGCTCCTCTATAATCACAATCTTGGGTTCATCAGATTTCTTGTGATTCCGTGTTGGTTTACTCCTTATTCTAGACTGAGAGACAACTGGAGGTGGGGTGCTAAGTGTAGACAGAGTAGAGGTGGTTGTCGTCTGACTGGAAAGTGACAGTTGAAGAGATTCAGATGCAACTGTGGTTTGGTTAGCCTCAACAATAAGAGGGCAAGTATAAGAGGTTGGTAAAGCTGTAGTCTGAATGCTCCCTTCACTGGTAAGTTTAGCTTGAGTTTGGCATGGCTGAGATAAAGACTGGTCCGTTGAAGTCAATGCCAGAGAAACACTGGTTTCCACAAGAAGTTTGTTAAGCTCTTCCAAGACAGAGCTGTCATTTTCTTTCTTGAAACGCCTTTTGATAGCACGTCTCTTTAGAACAGGTAGATTCACACCATTCAGTGGAGAGGATGGATTTTCCATCTTGACAAGCAGTGATCCATTTGCAGCCAGAAAAGATGTTGATTCTTCCATGTCACTAACATCTTCAATACCCGACTCAGAAGATGATGAGGAGGAATTTGGTGATGGCGAGGAAACTGGTGAAGGAGAAGGTGGGCAAGACAAATCAGAATCAACTGGTGACTGCAGAGGTTCATAGATTGGTGGACAATCCGGAATGCCTGGAGCTGCCAAGAAGTTGTGAATATCAACTGGGAAATCTGCAACTCCCTCCATTGGAACAAAATCTGCCACACAAACAAAACAAAAATGCAATGAGAAAAAAAGTTTCATTCAGACCAGTGAAAAAGTTGCATAACTAGTATATGGAGTTCATAAGCACAAAGTAACAATTTATTATCACTGACAAAAACTTCAAAACTGCCCCACCTTCGTGTAAATCTCTTAGATGACCACAAGCAAACACTGCTTTATCACAGATGCACTAACCTCTTGTATAGAGATTTTCATTGATGACAAATTCTTGAAGGAATTTTTTATTATACTTAACTTTCTTAAACAAGAGATTTCCTCTGTTGATAACATTTGAAAAGACTTCAGCACAGCCCAGATAGGTCATTATGCACACACTTTTTGGATAAAGGAAACAATGGCAAAAAAGATTGCTATTGTGACTACAGCTTTAATTTACCTAACATTTGAACTAAGGAAATTGGCAGCAAGACCAGTTTCAATTTAATGCCAGTCCCATGATTTCCTTGCTTACAAGAAGTGTTAAAAAATGTTCAACGGTAGATGACTATCATGTTCTTTATATGTCAATCCCCACTGGTGCATTACATAATACGAATTTCAGATTTAATTGAATCCAGGTTCCAAGAGTTACGTAATATCACCTACCGTCCTTTTTAATTTACCCTTGGGATAAAAGGCTCTACTGCTTTTATATACAAATAGGGCTTGAAGAGCAGAGGGCAAAGGTAAATCTCAAAGAATGATGAAATAGTTGTTCTTTCAAACCGCTGTGCAACTCGAACTATTTTCAAACCCTTAAATTCTTACGACGGGCAATTAGACATCGAAAAATACCAAATAAACTCTGGAATCAGCAGTTGACTCATTGCTGATTTCAACAGCGTAAATTAAACGGAGAAAAAAAACCCGCAAGAGAGGATAACGAGCATATCGGTGTCCGTCGAGGCAAAAATTCTCCAGAAAAATCACATGATGACCTTTGCCGCAGGAAATATCAACTTACCACCAGATTGCGTAGGATTGAACATCTCAATCTCTTTATCTCGAGTTTCTGATGAAAATTGATCTGGAAAAGAACAATAAAGGCTCTAAGACAAAGCTCCCCGAAACAAATCAGGCCATAGAGGTTCAAAGTTCGACAATGAATATCCGTTTAGCTATTTCACAACTGTACATTCCTTTCTAGGTGTGAAAATAACATTTGCACATTTTCTAAGTCGATATTTCTCTACATTTCGCCATGTTTCGTAAGAATTTCTACGGCTTTGATGCTTGAAAGCAAGTGCAAAACATTAGCTAAGTTAGGTAAACAAGAAGATTGCAGAAAGGTTATGATAGCTCTTTGTCTTTCGACAAGTTACGAAACTGCGAATTAAGATAGGAGAATATACTCGAGTACAAAATTGAGTATCTACGAGTCCAGTTTTAATAGTTTATGCTTGGTTGGCGTGCAAGCAAACGTATGAAAACAACAAACAACCGAAAAAAACAATTTACTCGACAGTCAGCTGAACGCATGACCCGAAAGGTGATGAACTTTGAAAAAACAAGAAAAAAACAAAAAACCACGAAAAACAAATATGATATCTGCTTTCATTGTGATTTCTCGAGAGACAGATTGACAGCACTTGATGGAGACTAAAAGCAGCCGACGGGTGACTCGCTAAAAGCGATGTTGAAACTAAATGTGTTTGAATATGCATGAATGTCGCCGAGACATGTGATTTTGATAACCGTCTTCATTTTTCCGGCAAACGAGCTTAGCTATCGAAGCAAACCACTACAGATTTCGGTGCAAACATTTAAGACTACATTCCTTTCAATATTACCACTACGAAGCTAAAAATATATTGCTAACAAAGCGTTAAATTCAAATTGGCGCTAACCACAATTTCGCATACCAGCCACATACCTGTTTCGAACGGATTTCTCTCTCCGAACTCCATAATAAGGGAAAAATTTATCTGTTCAGTCTGTGAAACCGACCATAAATTAATGCCAAAAATTGTTTCTAGCCGACCGAAATCGAAAATAACGCCAATAAGAGAGGACAACGTGCAATACTAGTCGCGTCTAGGCCCGCTACAAACCTTCCTACACGCCTTCCTTCATAGAAATATCTCTCGCGAGGCCTGCAGGGAGGTATCAATCATCTTTGGCTCCGCCTATTGGTTTTCAAGACCATGACATCATCGTCATTCCAAATTTGGTAATGTGACCAGATGGCTCTTAGCCGCATTGGCGAACTTCATGCCGTCCCACTCAACACAAATTGCGTCTTGAAACTGTCTAAATTTTCCCTCGCCAAAGAAAGCTTCCCTCTTTTATATTTTATTGTACTTTGTTTATTCTGTGTAACTATTATTTTGACTCCTAACTTATCTCAGTCTAGAAAAAACTGCAAAATAAATGTGACAGCAAATTAAGAATTCTCTTTACACGCATTTTCTGCCGTATTTTGTCTGTCAAAAACCTTTAACGATAAAGTAATTATTTCATGCAACACAATCAGAATAAAACAGAGGACTTGTGCTCTCCATCTGGTCCAAAACGAACGGAAAGATAACATCGGGGAGAAAGAACAGACAGAACTTAAAACTGAAATTTAAGACCTCCATGATTGAGACGCGCTCCCTGGTTTTTCCTCAATCGGTCACAAAATGATCCTGGGAAATTGACGGGACTGAGTAAACTAGAATGAACTTTAAACCTTTATTTTCTTCAGTTGTATTTGAATCTTATACTATAGCTTTTTTAGTATTTAAACTTTTCCCTCTGTATTTCCTGGGGGTTAAATTTCGGTTTCGTGCTGCTGTGATGCGGCTTTCTGAGACAGTCACGAGTTTGCATTTCGTAAGAGTGCACTGGATTTTTTGTACATATTCAACTCTTTTCCTGAGGTTTTCAAGTTTTGTTTTGCCTGGTTTTGAACATTTAATAGTTACCCAGTCCAATTAAATATTTTAAGGTCCTTGAGGTGAGTTTTCTAAACATCCGCAAAATTAAACGCCCACACCTTAAGACGAATACATAAGTTCTACTGAGTGTCTACTGGACTGTGTCGCGCCGGAGCCTCTCAGATAAATAAAATACTATATTTGTAACACGCTTCGCCTAATTTTGGCAAAGTAACCTTGATTGAACAAGCCAGGTGAGGCAGATGCCAAAATATTATGAAGACAAATATAACACGATGGATAAAAAAGGTAAATTTCGCGTTTCAAGAAATTAGTTCAAACGGATCAAAAGTTAGTATAGGTGGTTGCATCCTAAAATAAATCTTGTACAGCACTTCTTCCCTGGGTTAGCAATGGTTTGAAGATATACCCTGCGGTGAGAGTGCGAGAGCGAGGAAGCGTATCAGTGGGGTTCATGCTAATTTAGTTAGGGAACAATTCGTGGCATCGGACTATAGGTGATCAGGTATCATCTAAAGTTACCGAATAACCTCTGAAATCTGAAAGGGCAAACCTTTTCTTGGCTAAGTCGGTCGTTCTAATCGAGACGAGCGCGCGTTTTGTCATATATCTTGGAATATTGCGTTGACAACAGAAGAGGGCTGTTTTGATTGTACTTATAATTTATTCAACCACGCAGTGATCGCGGTGTCTGACAGCCATATGCAAATTTCCGCCTTGTTCAGCAACCTGAACCGTCACCATAACACAAAGGATTACGCTCCTCTTCGCGAACTTTCGCCACGCGCTCCTGTTAATTTTCGCTTAGATGTGCTCGAAGTATGATACAAAGGAAAAATAGCACAAACATAGTGCACCAGTACGGTTAGAATTTTAATTTATCGTGTCACTGAACGCCGAAGCGAACAAGTACTCATACCTATATCAGTGAAGGCGACTTCATTGTTCATCGGAGCCAGCGACTCGCTAACGACCGTCGTCTGTTTCATCTGCGGCCAGATTGTGTCGGTTTCCATGGTCAGACCTCTCGTAAAAAGAGTTTCAAACTTGAATTGAAGTTCCTGAAAACCGGTTGGAAAGTCTAGCGAGGAAAATTTTGCTTCGGAATAAACTAGTTTGACCGGTTTCTGTTTGGCGCCGTACGTAAACCTTCGCTTCGTTTGCTTTGACAATTAGAATTCAGTCTCCCACACCTCTATTGAGGTGTTTATATAGACTTTGCCTGCATGTCGCCGCATGATTGGCTAATATTGACAGCTACGTTCTAAATAAGGAATGGATCTCATTGCGCAGCTGTAAGCCACATTGAGCATGCGTATGGTTTCTATTTTGGGTAATTTAATCTTACATAATGTTTGGAATGTGAAACAGGAAATTGCTTTCTATTATTACCGGTTTAACGTCCATAAGACCAACCACAAAAACAGGTTTTTGACATGACGTTGATTGGCAGGTCAAGTTTAGTCTGTCTGTGAATGATAAGGATGATGTTGCTTTATTTTGCCTCAAACTTGATAACAATAACATGTGTTTTAACCAAGATCAAAATTAATTTTTATCACGTCTCAAAAAAGTAGGCCTCTTTGGCTTTTACGTTTTGTTTACTTATTTCAGGTCTTATGATGATACTCGAGAAAACTGTTTCTTCCAAATTTTCAAAGATAAAGCTGGGAATTTTCTTCCACTGTCGACGAAATTATTTCTGAAGACGCTTCTGTTTTGGTTGTAAATAGCACGGCAATCATTTATTTTCAAACTCAGCGTAGTGCTGTCATGTAAAATTTGGCAACTGTAACTGAAACTATTAAAATCTTATGAAAAAAAAACCGCAGAAGTGCTATGACGTCCAAATATGCGTCAGAAGACTAAATATTCTTCATTACTGCGCTTGAGTGTCAAAAAAAATGTTATTTGCAATTATTTTGCTATTGTTTTCATCAGTTCTCAAGTTTTCTATTGTTTCCAGTACGTTTTTGCGATTAATGTTTAGTTGTTAGGGAAGATGAACGAGAAAATTCGTAATTTGCGTGGGATTTATTCGTAAAATCGCTTCGACAGTTTTAAGATTTCTTGAACAAAGCTTCTCTAAGATTACAGTGGCCAGATGAACATTTGCTGTTTTAAAATGTCTCCAAACGGATATAGCAACAATTGGGAAAGTAGTCGAATAGTATACGATGCGTTATGAATTTTTTTCGATGATTGATGGAAAATTCATCTGAAGAGAGAATCATATGTATCCTTTCCGTGGATTTGGACATCACAAATAACAACTTAGCAGTGATTCTGTATCTTTTTCCAATAAAGTTAAATAGTACTTTAGTAATAGGACTAATTAGAACTCGCTTAAGAGGTAAACATAAATAGCGCGAAGCGAGTAAACGCGCGCGGACAAGGCTTTTCCGTGATACCGCACTTCACTAATTCTGCCTAAAAAAATTAAAATACTTGAAATCTCAAGATGTTGTTTTTTTACCAACGATGTTTCTATACAAGAGGATTCGGAAATATTAACATAATGTGCGCGGTCAACTGGAAAAGAAAGAGTTGGTTCAATTAAAACTGAACAAACCGTGTGAATACATAAGTTGTTACATTTTTAACCTGTTTTGCATAAGAAGGAAAACAAGCGCAAGGAACGCGCGTGATTCAGGTAAAACAGAGTAAAACGGGAAAAGAAACCTCCATACCTTTATTCAAACTTTTTTAAAGAAAGAAAGGTATTTGAATCAGTGTGAAACTGTGGATATGAAATCCTTAGAGCATCACGCTAGGAATTCAGCAGGGCTAGCTTTTGTATTAGTAACATATTCTAAAGCTGCTTACCTTGATGGAGGAAAGTGCTTAAAAAGTGCTCCACAATTTGAACAGCGTTGTCAAAATTTTCACCGGGGTATATGAACCTTTGGTGCTCTTCTGGCAAGTTTGTTTCGGCAACTAAAATAGCGAAAGATTAACTTACTCGAGTCTTTACAGTCTCAGCAAAACGTGAACTCACCGAGATATTTCATACCTTCGTCAAGGAAGTTAATTATGTCAGATAAATCTACATCTGTCGCCGTCGGCTGCGATTTCCCTTGGGACAAAATCGTGTAGGAACTAATCATGTTCCCCTTCTTTTTTGAGGGTGACTTTTTCCAGAATAGAAAACTTGATTTGAATTCTTCCAAACCGGTTTTAAAGGTCTAACTGAAAGAACGTCCCGACAAGCTTACTGGTTTGTCCGGTTTGGTATGAGGTCGAAGTTTATATAACCTTCCGTTTCGTCTTGTCATATCATTGGCTACTGATGACCACAGTAATTTAACATTGGGGTATCCCCTATTGCGCAGCGAAAAATTGTCTTAGAGGAAAAAAAATACCCAACTTGTCTGCACGATAAGACGTGAGCCGGAACAAAAGTGAAGCAGCATATTTGGCGTTAATTCAATTAAAGCAAAGTCGTATTTTTCTTTGGTACTAAGATGGATTTGTAAGTCATAGTTGGATGAGTTTCCAGCTTTCAATTTCCGTTTCGTCTTGTCATATGACTGCCTAATGATGACCGAAGTAATTTAAAGTAAGTGTTTTCCCTATTGCGTAGCAAAAAAATTGTTCTGTAGGAGAAATACTCGGTTCATTTGCTCGGAAAGGCTTTTCAAATACGATAACAGGGATAAAAGGATCCCATACATGTATGACGTTCATTCAATTGACGCAAATTCTGTTTGCGTTTGTCTTTGGTATTACTAGAAACATTTGAAAGCCATTCGATATAGCAGCTTTCGGTCATTTGCCGATGCAAATGTTAATTGTTAATTTCAAAGTTATAATGATTGTTTTCTGGCTTATAAAGCATCCAGTTTCGTCGAGCACAGATATTTATCGATCAATACAAATTTTAGTTACTTTTACCAACAAAATGCAGACTTTCCCGAAAAGATAGACCAGCTATAATAAGCGGAAGAAACACAAACATCCTCGCAAACATGTGAGCTCTTAAAAAGAAAAAGAACTTTCAATATTTTATGTAAGCCTCACATCTATATTCTAGAACGGTTATAGATTATGAAATGAGTCCGCTCTGGAGGTCAAATAACATCAACAATTCATTGCTCCCCTAGTAAAGCTTTTCTTTCTTAATGTGGCGACACTCGCTCAATTTGGTAATTTGCTTATAATCAGGGAGCTCCTGCCTATCATCGACTTCATTGTAACTAAAATAATTTTGACTTAAGCAGTATTAGATCGCTACTTCCAAAGGTTGTATGCTCAGGAGAGACAAGGTCCAAGCATGAAATAAAGAGAAAGATTTCGAAATTGGAGCAGTTGAATATTGAGGAAATGAACACTGAAAATAGCAGTGTATGGCAGGTAACTTGTTTAAGTCCTGAACCCCCACAACCAAAAAAGGCTATTGCACTGTTGGCCAGTCTGTAGCAGTAGATGATTTTCATACAAAGAGCATTATCTTGAAGAGATCGTTAGCGCACTCAGTGCTTGTCGAGAGGCATGCCAAGAGCCCTCTGAAGCCACGTATGAATTATTTTCACCAAAAGCTGAAGACTATCCGTGATAACTTTCTAAATTTATCCCAAACTCTGTTCGGTATGCTTTATTGATGGATGCGACAAGAGTCAAATCAGTGTTTACAGTCAGGACGAGCTTCGGTGGGAGGTCCTTTCCATCTAAATTTTACTGCCTAGTGTATTGTTCATTTGGGCGGAATGGAAAGTTTTTCTTCTCGGTAAAACTTCTTTCTAGTATCACCATATGTAAGCCAGATTGGAGCGCGACCCAGCTTGGTTTTATCATAAAAAAAAGTTTACACATTACGAAAGAGCACAAATTGACCCATGGTCTTGAACAGATAACGGAATGTGTCAAGGTGGAGCTTTTGGAATGATTTGTTCAGACTCGCAGCTTCTAAAATATAACCTTCATATACCAAGTGTTAGATGTCATTCCTTGAACAAAAAAGCCGCCGCACCGCCTATAAAATCTAAGAGAGTAATCTGCGTCTAAATCCGGCACAGATCGCCAAAATGTTTCTCCTCGGCCATTTCCTAACTTGATACTATTTACCAGAGAAGCTTGTGCCGCTTATTGCCCCGATTATAAAATTATCAGAGTTTCGGAGATTGAAAATTTAATATTGAGTAGTATGCCAGTGACAGCCGGCTAGAGTAATGACGTTGTAAAAGGCTGCCAGCAAGTGGATATCTAACTATAACACTGAAACTCACTTGATAACGATTGCCCTAAGTAAGGAACAAAAAGAATTAAAGACTTACCTCCAGGAAGCAAATGCATAAAGTGTTCCACAATTCTAATAGCATAATCAATATTTTCTCCATAAACTGGAAAGTGGGTTCCTATGGGTGCTAGGCGGCTTACAGTTGCAGTTGATGGTCCGTTGAGGGTTGAACTGGGTCTAAAAATGGGCATTCTATTCATCTCGGTTGCTTAGGTCTTGTCTTGAAGCCTGAGCCTTGACTTGTCTTCCTGCTTGGGTCTTGTCTTGAAGCCTGAGCCTTGACTTGTCTTCCTGCTTGGGTCTTGTCTTGAAGCCTGAGCCTTGACTTGTCTTCCTGCTTGGGTCTTGTCTTGAAGCTTGTGCCTTGACCTGATTCCCTGTTTGAGTCCTTTAAAGTTTGTGTCCTGTCAGTTCCTGCTTGGCTTTTGTACTTTTCCTTATCGTTTACACTAGTTACCTTGTCTGACCTCTACCCTAAGGCTAGCTTCGTTGTCTTGATCCGGTTCTAATTTTCGGTCTGAACAATTGCCTTTTGTAATGATGCTTTTTTTCAGATATCTTGACACAGCCGGGCTTGATGCAGCTTTTCAACAAAAACACGTTTCTTATAATGTTTGCTTGCTCGCCCCGATGGCGTCGCTTGCAATCTTTATGGCTTAATGTTGCTTATGGATCCATACTCTCCTTAGCCATGGTCGACTCGTCCTTAAGCTGAGTTGGAAACCTCTCCGGGCTCTTTTCGCTACAGCTGTTGTGTATACCAGATGTACGACTTTCTTAGTGAACTTGGATATACTTTGGTGATCGACAACCCGAGATTTGTTTTGCGGTCTATGAAGCTGGTCGTTCGCAAAGTTCTCAGCACTTTGTATGATGAGGTCTAAATCGCTCCTCCCAAATCCTTTTGATCAGAGAGTTCTCCCACTATAAATGAACTCGCCCGAGTTCAGTGGAAATATAGTTGTCACTTGTCACTTGATTCACTTGTTGCTCTTTTCAGTATCGCAATTTCTTCTTTTGCTCAACTTAAGTGAACTCTGAACTAATCCAGTCTTAGATCCTCCTTAAACTTAGAGGACGAAAGTGAACTTCATTCGTCAGCGGTTGATGCAGAACGTAACTATTGTATCACAACAATAGTTTGAGGTCACAATGAGTAGGCAGATATCAGTTAACAAAAACCTTTAAGTTAATTTCAGCAAGATTTACGTTACTGAACCATCTAAACAATGACAGAGTAAATGAGAGGAATGTTCTTCCTGTAGATATCTGACAATCCTGTTAAAGCTTTGCCTTGACCTTTATGGACACAAAATTCCGCTCATGTCTGCATATAGATCACAAGTTTTCCTTTTGTTTTAACTGTGCAGACTATCAAAAAAGCGGAAAGAAAAGAAATGGCGTCAGTGTAACTGTTAAAAATGGTAGGAAGTTATAGAAAGACCCCTTAGTGCGTTGCGGTCACTGTAAAGTATCGCTAATTCTTAACACTTTTGACCTGTATTTTTAATTTGTTGTTATTTATGAGAAAAGTTTCCAAAGTAACGCGATATCACTTGAGGCCAATATTTATTAATACAGACAATTTGACTGGAACATACGAGCTCTTAGGCTAACAGTTGAAACAGGACAGTAAAACGTTTCTGAAGTGAGCTTAACGTAAGCTCTACTCTTGGAGCTTGCAGAGAAACTGTCAAATATAAATGATATACGTTTCCAATATAATTTATCGGTTGCTTCCTCCACACTTACAGAATGTTATTACTAACCATTACTTTAAATTCATCTATTAACGTCATCATGGATTAGCAAACGATTTATAATATCCTAGTGGTTATATTTTCACGGAAGGAAGATTTGACTGTCGTCTATTTGTCTCTGAAACCGGCAAGTCACTGGCATTCGCTACACGCCTGCGAAACTTAGGACCAGAATGAGTGACTAAATTTGTCATAGTTTTTTTGGCACGATTCTTGGAGTTATCAAATGACGAAGTCAGTTGTGAAGCAGGGTGTCGGATATTTTTTTGTTGTCATTCCTTATTTTACGCAAGGACTCGTTCGAGTTGACAGCACAGTGATATAACTTTTGTGGCTATTCTTAGATCTGAGTATCCGTAAAACATCCGGTAACTTTCTGGAAACCTTTTGAACCTAGAGGCAAAAAACTACATAACTGCATACAATGAAATCATTCAAAGAGTGATCCAGATGATTTCATGTCAATTTTTGCATAATCTGCGTAACAGTTCTTCACATCTGCATGGCTGTAATCAATATGCACAGAGAGTCACGTTCGTTATTGCACGGTGTATTGCCTTTTGGTAGTGATCCAATTCTAAATTCCGCATTTATTTTTCAAGTTTATATCACTACGCTTTATTACGCACATTAAGATCATACTGGTGTGTCTTAAAATAGAAAAAAGCTAAAGACATGTCTAAACACGGTTCAGAATTAGGCACCGTTGCTTTCCATTCTAAGCTTGATTCCTCGCCTATAAGCGAAGTCCTAGCTTGGCTATCCTAACACGTTTTCTCTTGTGGAACAAGAAAATCTCAAACCAGCCAATAAAAAAAAATCATGGTTCCAAACAAATTTTACTGAAACATATTGGTTTTAAATGAGGAGTAATTATGCTCGGCCAAGTTTTAGCATTGCATCGCGCTTGAATAATAATTCTCTGAGGAAAACAATAAATTTTCGTTGACGACCTCACGTTTATAGTAGCGCTAACAAACGTGATTGACGTGATGTGTCAGAGATTCAAACCTCAGAAGTTCCATTGACGCAAACGCATTTAGCTTTTCTTCCTTAACAATGCAGATGCGTCGAATTTGAGGGCCTCAAAGGAGAATGAACTTTATCGTTGATGTGCAGTTACCCGTCAGAAAAAGGGGTTTTCCCTGGGACACGGAACTTAAGATTGCAGTGTCAACTTCCCGTGTAGATCACAGGAAGTTTTGCTGCTGGGGGGACTGTTACGAAGCCTTCTCATTCAAGCATATTTTTCAGTTAATGGAAAAGAAGAGATATCTTTGGTTATAGTTTTTCACTTTTTTTCCTGCCCTATTAGGCAATCTAACATACAGACCAGATGAAGACAGAGATTGAACAAGTTTCATCGAGAGACAATCAGTTTCCATTCTAGTAAATAGTACGACTCAATTAAAATTCTTTAAGTGCTAATTTAGCATTCTAGCTACCTGGTAAATAAGCACGACCTTACAAAGTGAACGCTCAAACAAAGAGTTAACGCTCGCAACGTCAGCTTTAGAAAATCTTTGCTGTGGCCAATTTTCTTTACAGTTGAACGTCTTGAACGAGAAAAAGAACGCGATGTAAAGTGGTACACAGCTCTAAGTATATGCATCAGAAAATAGAAATGATGAAACATTTATGCAAATGTAATACCTGTAATTTCCGTTTTTGTGTAAACGGCAACATAATCAATAGAAAGTTACGATAAACGAAATATGATTAGTTTTTCTTTTCGTGACCAATTTTCACTTTTGATAAGCCTCTAATAAGTTATGCGTAAAATTTTCTTGTTCGTTATCAGTGATTTCGGTTTTTTCTTTTGTTTTGTTTTTTTTTTTTTTTTGAGGGGGGGCCCTTTAATCATGGTAAATATTATTCACAAACAGGAGCCCATTTAACTGCCTCATGTCAGAAGAAATGTTAAAACTTTAAATCAGGGGTTAAATAATTTCTACTATTCCAGAGAATTTCTAATTTATCTCGCGAAGTTTAGCCCGCACTATTTAAAGTACTTGTTTTTTCTCGGTCTTAGGTCTAGTCCGAGGGTCCATTTCACAAGTCCATCTTACACATGACTTCTTTCTTTCCCCGAGCGTCCTCGGGGAAGTCTGGTGTTGACCTATTGCATCCCACAATGCTATGCTCCCTCCATCAAGGCGATCTCTCCAAAGTCGTCCTTGAAGGTCTGTTACTGTGTATTAAGAACCTTAAGATATCCAATCCATCTGACCCAAAGTCCTGTAAATTCTTGTCATTAAAACATGAAATATTTTATTTTAATCCTTCGTTTTTTTATTTTGTAAGATGGCTAAGAAAACCGACAAGAAAAAGGGGCGCTCTGCCATCAATGAAGTCGTGACTCGTGAATACACGATAAACGTACACAAGAGAATCCATGGCATGTAAGTTCGGTATTTTTGGTTTTTTTTAAAGGGAATGACTTTTACCTGGAAGGTGGCAGCAATGTATTGGTTTAGCTCTTTAGATTAGAATCCGACGATTGGCGGGGAAACAATCTGAAGAATTATTATTATTGAAGAAAGGATAAGTCTTGAATGGCAGCGAATTGGTTCTTGCAATAACGACATTCTGAGCTATAGCTCGCCGAGGGGTAGACAAAACTTTTTGGAAAAGGAAAATGTTTTATTGAGACTTGTTAGTACCGTTTGCTTATCCTCTAGGCTGGGGGAATTAAGGGTAATGTAATAGAGCACGAGCTCGTCTTTCTGTTTCAATGTGGAAAACTTCGTTCTCTACTTGGATTAAATGACAGTAGATTTTGAGCATAAAATCTAGTTGTGACTTTGTCTATTCTGTGTAATATTTCTTCAAAAATGATACATATATTTTTTTTTGGACGACTCACTCAGAATTCAAAGCCTGCTTTTTTGTTTCTGATACCCTAGCTATTTAGTTTAAAAACCTTCGAATTTTGAGATGAGTTATAGGAATCAAGCATTCAAACAAAGGAACACAGGCTGATCAGTTCAGCTTTTTTACCATTTACCACATTACCTCCAGAACTTTAATTGTATCTCTTTTACTGTCTAGTATTTAACAAGTGTAAATAGTGGCTGAATGGTCTCTGACATCTAACAAACCTAAAAGTCTTTTATGTTACAATTGCATGATGATATATCAATTGTAAGTTCTCTTTTCTTCCACAACAGTGGCTTCAAGAGACGAGCACCAAGGGCCATTAAGGAAATCAAAAAGTTTGCTGAGAAAATGATGGGAACACCTGATATTCGTGTTGACACCAACCTTAACAAACATGTGTGGTCAAAGGGAATCAGGTATGCCATTATCATCCACTAGAGTGGAGTTTCTGTTAACCTATTCAGTTCCAAGAGTGATCAAGAAGTAATTCTCCTTGCAATATTAAACAGATAGGTGATGAGCATAGAGAAAACTATAAACTGAGAGAAATTATTTCAAATTAAGCCACACTCTTAAAACTCTCATGGAATAAAAGAGTTAAGCAGACTTTTAGAAGAATTACTTATGACATCAAGGGAGTGCAAAGGTAAAGATTTGAAGATGAACTGTTTTGGGTACATTTATGGTGTTTTTTTGCAGTCAATTTTATCATCAGTGAATGAAGGGGTAAGTTTCTAAAGAAACTGTGGTGCTGCGTCGGTGGGAGAGTGTAGCAGGTAATTTAGTGTTGACAACTGAGTTGAAAACGTAAATTAGCCATCGTAAAGGGTAAAAAAGCTGATGTTTCGAGCGTTAGCCCTTTGTCTATTGCTCTGACGAAGGGCTAACACTCGAAACATCAGCTTTTTTTACCCTTTACGATGGCTAATTTACATTTTCAACTTAGTTTTTAACACTAAATTACCCAATTTTATCATCATCTAGTCACATTTTGAACTAATGACAATTGTAACCATTTAAATTTTGTAGAGTAATTAATGAAGTTAGCTACCTGCTACTCCCTTTTATCTTGTGGCTCAGTTTTAACATGGTTTGAATTTTACTTTCATTTGGTTTGAGTTATTTTCATGCTGAACAATATCTATCAGTAGGGAAAATTAAGATTTGAACTATGGATACAAGTGAACTGTAGTATGATGCACTGCCTGTAGACCTGAGGGTAAAAACACTGTTATTGGTTGTCACCCATGAATTTTCAGAACACAGTCATAAATTGTTTACTAGCATGGTACACATTTTTATATCTTTACACATAAGGAAAAAAAAACTAACATCCCAGAAGTGATGCAGTGAAAAGTTTTGTAGTCTTTCAGTTAATGGCAAAACAAACATTTAAAGGGATCTCTTACTTTCATATTGTAATCTAACAACAGAATTTTGTCTCAAATAGAAATGTGCCATTCAGGGTCAGGATTCGTTTAGCACGCAAAAGGAACGAAGATGAAGACTCTGTTCACAAGCTGTACACTCTTGTCACTCATGTCCCTGTAGCTTCATTCAAGGGTCAGTGTTGTGTTGTTGAAACAGAAGAACTCCCTTAAAATTTATAGCTATGTTTATCATACTCTGTATGAGAGGAATCTAGGAAAATCTTAAAAAGTATGCAGAATGGTTTCTCTTGTAATCATTTTTACAGCTCTAAAGCTGTTGTGGAAAATATATATCTGAAGGGTCTAAAAAAGTGTCCCTGCTACTTTGAGAAATTATATTTAAACATGTCTAGGTGGCCATTACTTTTGAGTTGCTAAACTTGTGTGAGTAATTGTCAGGAAAAATTGTTGGTCCAAAAGTTTTTATTACCCTTCCATAGCTGTCATTAGTTACTATTTCTCATCAACCTGACTCTGAAGCTATTCTGAATCAATTGGATTCTGAAACAATATTTAAATAAGAAAGGGGACTGTGTTCTTTAGCAATAATTAAATGTCTGGTATTTAGACATTTTTGACTGTGAGTTGACAATTTTTTTCTTTTTATGTCTCATAGGTCTGCAAACACAGAAGGTGGAAAGTGAGGATTAAGCCTATGTACAGAAATAAACTTGTCAATTTAATAAAGATCTCAAAACTTTAATCATTTCTTACTGATTTTGTCCACACTACACTTCAGCAGAAAGACCATTGACATTTCTGAATTGCTATTGGTATTGAAAACATGTTTGCCTCTTCTTGCTAGTGTGATGGTATCATCCTCCTGAAATCATCATGCAAATTATTTCTTAATTTTAAAAAAATCAAGGTTGATTTTAGCTGGGATTTTATTTTGAATTGTTCACTGTAAACCAATCAAATTTCAGTAGAGTTGTAGTCATTCCTTTTGAGAGAACTGGATTAAGGGAGAAAGTGACATCCTCTTTAAGAGAACTACAACCAACTCTAAGAAGCACTAATTTAATTCATTATACACAATCAGTTCAATTCGCAAAACTCACCAAGTACTGAAGAACATGATGTCAGTTTCCTTCTGAACATGAAGTAATGACGGTGGATAGTAAAAGGGAGGAATGAAAAAAGATCACAGGTGAACAATGATACTTTTTCATCAAAGCTACCTTCTTATCATTCCCAGAGGATTTTGAATTACACCTTGGGAAAGAGAGCTGCTTGTGACCAGATGGCCATCTGTTCTTGCCACATTCTAAAACTTGTGCTACATAACAGCTAAAACAAGCCAACACAAAACTGCATTTGACCCACCATTAAGAAAGCAGCAATTTCATATGAATAGCCCTTTAACCAGCTGGCACACACTCAAGTTCAGTACAACTTTAATTCATCAACAGCAACTGTACATATATTTCATAACTTCTTTTCTATCATTCAGAGCACTGGTTAATACAACTTCTAGTTTACCCTCACTTTTGAGTTAGAGGGGAGAAGATAATGATTCCATACTGAGATACTTCAGGCAATACAATTTTTTTTTCTTCCCTACCAGTGGGAAATGAAATATTTCATTCTATACTTAATGGAATTTAGCACAGCTCTTATTTTGTAGGGAAACCATGTGCTAAAAGATTTCAAAAAATGAAACAAAAAGACATGCTTTAGCTTTTAATTGTTCAGTGTATAAAGAAACATGCAGTTACTTTCATTTTTCCTGCCAACACAGAATTACTTGTACTTGTGATGACTTCTGCTGAATTTGTGTGAACATCAGTCATCACTACCTAGGAGAGGTCATCTCTGGGCTATACTAGTCTCACACAAGTCATACAGAAAATTTAATTTAGTTGGGTTTAAAAAAAATCTACCCATAAGCAAAAGATTGCAAACAAAGCCACCAGGAAACTGAGAGTGTTTCCTCTGTAAACAATAATGACTGAAGCCTCTTAACTTTTGTTTCTGACTCAAAAAAAAAAAAAAAATTAAAGAACAATTTTCATCTGTTCTGACTGACTGACCATGCAGTAATTATCTCTCTTTTAAATAATATTGCCATTGATAAAAATTCACATGATTTCATACATTTATGTAAAATGGTATTATGATAATGTTTGTTTCATTAATGAATGTCAAGGCTACAATTTTCAGAGTTAAGGAATAAAGCTTGGTGTAAAAAAACCAAACTTATTCTCACTCTGCCCTTATTCACAAGACAAAAATAATCATAGATATCCCTGAGGGATAAAATAGTATTTGTTCCAGTTCAAAACAAAACAAAAAAAAATCACAGTATTCATCAAGACTATGTGGTACTCATTGATATTCCTGAGTAAAGGGAGGTACTGGGCATGACACAATGCTTTCACATTGTCTCCCTCCATCTACTAGTATGAGAGGCAAGGAGCTGTCAAGGGAAGCTAACAAAATGCTGAAGGGTGGGTGGGGAGTGTGTAATGGTAGTGGCCCACAATCAACTAACATCTTATCCAATAGGAATAACAATACTCAGTAGATTGATGCAACAGAAACAGAGATTGGCTCTGGCAGAGAGAGCCACTCTGCCTCTGCTCTGAATTTCACCAAACAGTAGGACAAAAGTTTATACAGACATTTTCTGATAATGGACAGTGCATGTGTTTTGAAGTCATATTTGAATAAAACATTCAGTTGCAGGATAGGCTAAGATATGCATTCCCTTAGCTTCCCTTACAAATCTGCCCTAAACTGGATTAAAAGTGAAATTAATGTAAAAATGTTACAATAATAACAACAATTAATAGTGGTAATAGGACTGAGTGGAGTCCAATTTGGTCTGTACTCATACGAGTGATTAACAAAATCAGACGACCGAAAAGCAGGAGTCCAATTTGTTTATCACGAGTATGATTACAGACAGAATTCAACAACAAGAAGTCCTGTTACCAATTAATCATATAACCATTTCAATTTCTGAAAAAACAAATACACCTAGAACAAATATCCTCCATTTTGGAAATTGCCTTTTTTTCCTTTGGATAAGTGGTTGTTGCTATGGTTATTATGATCAATTCTGTGATTGGTGGATTTAGCTGAGTGGACCTCCTATGATTGGCTGCTCCAACTGTCCGATTACAGGTGTCTAATTACAACCAACCGTCAGATTATACTGTTGGATTATACTATCGGATTACAACTGCACAGAATGATTACTGAAAAATGAAGCAGCTGATGCACCAATCACATTTGAGGAAATTGTAATGGTTATGATCATGCCAATAATATCATTATCATTGCTTCAAAAAGCATTGCACTTGAACTTGATCTAACAACAATAACTACAATATCTCTCATATCTATACACTCAGACATGCACTTCCAGTCTTAACCCTTCAACCCCCAAAGAGTTATTGCAAAAGAATCTGTCTGCAAAACATTCCTTCACTTTCAAGCAGAAAAGTAATTAGAAGAAAGAAAAATATCCACAGTGGGATACTGCTAAGTTCTCCAAGCATACTTTAAAAGAAATGTATGCAGACAGTATGGAGAATCTATATTTAGTTCTTGGGAGTAAAAGGGTTCAAGGACAGTGTCACAGCTTTACAGCTGATCATGTTCACAGTATACTGCACACACTGGTACATGAATTCTCTATTGTTCATTCTTGTATATGGTAGGTATATCTGTTTATTTAGTCAAATTATTCTTGATTTACTCTTCAATAAAAAATGCTGTTAATGCAAATATCAAAAAGACAACTCCACCAATGATTGTAACTGGAAGATAAAAAAAATCAACATTGCATGTCAATATTTTTTTAACACTAACTGGAATATAACTATCTGCTTTTCAGGTCTTTGCACTACAAGACAGTTTGCTTTTTTCAACAAAGAGATAAAAAGGAACAATTTTATTTTACTACAGCAGTGGTGTCTAAGCAAAAAAAATATGGTTCTAGCCATGAAAAAAATTGAAACTAGAAATGACTTAGTAAACAATGAGAGAAAGATGTCCCAGTTCTTCCAAAATATCATCACTTGTTCCACAGGTCTTGCACTCTTTATTTGTTCACCACAAATTTAAGCAACAATGTTGATTTTACTTTGAATTCCTTTAGTATCTGAGCTCACACAAAAGTTGCTGTCTCACTGTCTAGTGCCACTTACCACCCTCCAGCCCTAAAGCAGAGCTGTCAATCTGTGACACTTGATAGAGGTATTTCCTCCTTCGCTACATATTTTCTTAAGTATGAGAATAAGGTATGTTTAAAATAGGCACCTGTTCTGACAGATATTCTTTGAGCAATTAGTCTTCCCCCAATCACAGCCAGGCCAGTGCACAGGGCATGTCCTAATGTTCCACCTATCGTCACGCCAACTACATTCTGAGGATGAGATATTGTGCAGAAATTCAGTTTAAGTCATCTAAGAAAAGATCACATAAGTAAAGATACATCCTTTTCTCCCATTCATAAGTCCTCTCAATGAAAGGAATTAACTTTTGACCCCTAAGAGCTATTAGAATTTAATTTCTCCTTACATTTTCACCCTTGAATTACATATAAAGGTGACCACAATATAGGTAATGATCACAAACTCAAGAAGCTCTTGATTGTCAAATTAATTCCTCTTATCAGCATGAAATGTATAAAGAACACTATTGAGGATATGCATATTGATGTTAGAGTGTAAAGGGTGAATCCATTTATACCTCTCTAGATGCCAGGAGTATAGTAGCCAGTTGTGACCTGTCACCCCACTCAGCAAGGAATGTTAGAGTAAATGCTTGTAGTAATATGGGTGAGCAAAGACCAAAGAACTTTGCAGGCTTCTTTCCTCCTCTTATTATACCAGTTTCTACATCTTGAGTGATGGTAGATGAGTCATCCTTCTCCATCTAAACAAAAATAGACCATAATTTTTCTAAACAACAAGGATAAAATCACTTTTTGTATGCATCATTACATAATGAAATCAGAAACTGAAAAGATGGCCAAAATGAAAAATGAAATTGCTAAAAACTGAAAAAAAAAGGCGATCACAATGATATTAAGGTGAAATGTTGAAGTATAAGGACTAGATTCATAAGCAAGTGAAGAAGACCCAAAAACCCTGTGTCTTAGTTCACAATAATTTAAAACCAACTATTGAAAAAGGAAAACTTGGACACCAAAACAAAACAAGCAAAAATTGTAGACACAAAAAATTCCAAAACCCATCTCAAATAAGATCTAAACTGGAAAAAATAAAAACACAAATTCCTCCATATTTGCTCCAAAGAAGGGCTACCACTTGAAATGTCCACTTTGAAACTCTTTGCAGTGGCCGATTTATGGTATCAACTCAGTTGATAATGCCAAATTACCCTGTACTACAAGATGATTTGGTTTTATCATCTAAGTTGTGAATTGGTCACTGTAGAGAGTTTCTCAAGCTGACTTTCTGAGTGTAAGCCCTTTGTCATAGTGGAGGTTGGTCAAGCAACACACTTCCTCCATGTGTATGCATGTTATATGCTGAGCCCTAAAAACAATGGTATAAAGAGATGATGGAAAATGGAATTGAAGTAATTTTTTTTTCTGACCAGACCTCAGCTTCCTTCTTTTTAAGTTCTGCTTGTACTTCTTCCAACTCCTCCTGTCCTTCATTAGGGTCCATATCATAACCTTCTTTTAACATTTTAAGACCGAAAAATACAAACAGTGCTGTTGATATGTACAGTGTGTATTTCCTTGGAATGACAGTTGTTGCATATCCCAGTACCGCTGAGAGAACTGTCATCAAACCAAGGGCAAGCATAGCTCCCGTGAATATAACAAGCCTTGGATGTCTCATTGACATAATGGCAGCAATGAAAAATGTCTTGTCGCCAAGTTCTGAAACAATGATCACAGATAGAGCAGCCACAAAGGCATGAATGAATTCAATACTAGAAACACCCCAGGAACCACCAGAGGCAGATGATTGCTTTGCCAAGGAGCCTTGGAAAATACCATTCTGGAGAAGAAAAATAGCTCACTGTTACTAGATGATAATGAATTAATCAGCAATACTAACTGAGTCTGAGGTGGATAATTTTGTTTCAGCATAATCATTCAGGTAATCAGGAGAGCAAATGTATCTTCTTTTACTTTCTTTCTATGAAATACCAATAAGTTGTGCAGTGATACTATTATTTGATTCAGTGTAATCAGGGTCACATTTCTTCAATATTTATGGGACATGCTGTAATGGAGTCAAAATTTTAAAGGACATAATTTTTTGCATAAACCCATTTCAAATCAATGCAAATGAAGACAAACTGGATGACAGAGAAATAATAAAAGGTTGTTGTTATAATTATCTCTTTGGTAATTTATCTCTTCTCTTCAGTCTTCTCTATCATTGGCCATAACCCTCCACATGTTCTGTTGAATCAATCTACCCACCACTCAGGGTTGATAGGGTTTTTATCATGCATTCCAACTTTCTTCTTATGGACATCAACAGGTGGAAAATGGGAAACTGCTTTAGTGATGCTATTGAGAAGGTATCAAAGACGTGGGCTTTCTTTCCATGTTTACATTTAAATAATTGCCAAATTAGTCAATCATGTGACACAAGGAAAACTTTACATCACCCTCCCTAAGTGTTATTGAATTAAATTATAGTTAATTAGAAATTTGTAGCATTTTTGATAAACTAATACATTCAAAACTATGACGAATTGCAATCACGAGTTCAGTTGACCACAAGCTAGATCAATCGCACAGTAGATACTATGTCAACACGCATCACTAGTGTTTCTAAAATAGCCAAGAGGCCATTTTCTTCAGCAAAAAGCCACTTGCGTTCACACTTAAAATACTTTCTTACCACTTCTTCCTCAACAGGCTGCACAAAGGATACAGAATCGGTACCTTTCGGCTTCTCTTTAGGATCATTTGCCTGGACCTCTGATGAAGCCATCAAGACGCGACCGGCAAGACCTTCAAGTTCGTCGGGAACTGCAGCACACGCTACGGTTGCACGGCACATTAAAACAATTCCGATGATAAGGAACAAACTTAGACGCCCTTTACAATAAGTCCCCATGTTGAATTAGTCACCAGAATAACACTTTAAACCATTTGCTTTCGTTCACCCGTGTTTATAAAATATGAATTTTTGAGAATTTTCTTCTGTGTTCAGTGCGCTTATTAGAATCAGCGGTTATGCTATGTAACTTATGCGCAAATGTAAGGATTGAGAAAGGGAGGGTGGGGTGGTTGAGTTAACGTGCTCATGCCAAATTTTTTCAACCATATATGATCATAACTGCGCTTGCGCGAGCTTTATTGATAGAAAACGACAGGAAACCGACTTACAGACTTAAAATGCTTTATTTTGGTTACATTTATCGAGCTGTTCGATTTGCTACTTCATTACGGAAAATAAACTCGCTACAAGCTATACTATATACTCTTCATCATCGCAGCAATAGTTTTCTATGAATATTTGTCTTTACAGGCCGAGCGAATAATGTGCCCTAGAAACAGACTCCGTCATCTTGTAGCAGCCGCTCATTCCCACACTTCCTCCCGTTACAATGATAACATCTTCACGGAAGTGCGTCATTCCAGCGATATTGCTAAGTAGCGCTAAGGATCCTGATCAGGAAACAGGTGATCCAATTTATAACGGTTGATATTCGCAATTCTTTTCCAGCGTCCTCTTTTCCTTTTCTTTCTCTTTATTTCAACCAAAAATAACAGAAACTAAAGCGTACTGTACAACTATAACCAAGCTGGTAAACTAGCCTTTCTTGTCAGATTTCTACTCATGGGCGAATAGAATAAAGTGACTCTCGACAAAAATTTGCGCACGTCCTCGGCTTCTGCCACATCAACAGGCATTTGTTTATTGCCGTCCAACGCGCGCACATCAGCCTCGCAACGTAACAAATACTTGACGATTTCAAGGTACCCTTCGCTGGCTGCGTAGTGTAAAGGAGTCCATCCTTGTCCATCTTTCTTGTTCACATTCGCTCCAAGTTCTATCAAAGCTTTTACACTCCTGAAATTACCATCAAGAACACACTGTGTAAGCGCAGTCATCCCAGATGCAGTAATGGCGTCCAATTCGACTACTTTTCCAGCTCGACGTAGGAAATCAATAACCTTCTTTCCTTCTGTAAACTCCGAATCTAATGATTCCTTACTGCAAGCGATTTGGAACATTAAATCGAAAGGTTGTGGACACGATCTCACCCTGTGAACTGCTACTTTACCTTTCGGTTTTTGAGCCGTTGAGGTTGTGTCCATGCCTGTTCTGATGTTTTTTTGTATCGACAGGAGGCGTACTCGCTTGACTTACTTTAAACTACGCTTTCGGTGCCGTTAATCTTCAAGTTAAATGGGTAAACTCGTTTGGGCAATGAAATTAAAGATAAATAGACGTAGTGACCTCTTTATCACTAAGAGTCAAATCCGCATCACGCAATTGAAATTATCCATAATTAATTTAAAACATTCCGCATTTGTTACCACTTATCCTGTATCGGCACAAGTGCGCTGTCAGTGGTTACTGTTGCATTACAAAAATCCTTGACGCTTCATATGTTAAACAACTGAACAGTTTCACTCTGAGACATTTGGGTTCAGTAAGAAAACAACTAAAATTAATGTAGTGTTTATGTTTGTTTATCATAATTGAACGCTATGCCGCTAAAGTAGTCTAAAACGGTAAACTTGGCTCTGAGAGTAATTGTTTAAGTTGATCATAAGCTGATCTGAAAACATAAGATAAGGATGGACGATCATTTTCCAAAAAACAAAACTTCCCTTTCAGCTCACGGGAAAGAGGAACTGTCTACTCGCAAAACATTTTTTTTTCTATTGATTTCTGATCTTTTTTTAACTTTCATTGCTATATCAGCAAGCAGGTGTAAATATTTAAATCTATGCGAGACAAAACAGCAAAGTTGAATACAAGATGAGAACAGAATATGGCCGAGAAAGTACTTTTAAACTAGCGCTGGAAATCTCAGTCACGTTTTTATTACTTAAGTTTGTACTTATACACGTCGAAAAAAAACTGCCTACAAGCATGTACCAGACTAAACAGCTTATCAGACTCCAAAGCTAATCCTATTTTACTTTCACTGATATCATGCTTCTTTTATGTCAATTGTTACAGTATCTGCGCACATATAGAAATAAGTCTTGTCTAAACACAGACGATGTTTTGATAAACATTCATTAGTGCATTGTCATAAAATATTTATGTTGCAAAAAAAAGAGCAAACCGCCGGCAACTGAATTCAGAAATTTAGTGAGTGCCTTCAAGCGTCTGAACTGTTCAGTGTAAATTCTTTTAACTGTCAATATTTTTGTGCGGGATAGATTGAATACCAGTATTAGCGGACTAAAAGAGAGCGGTGATCAATTTTGCACTCACTGTGCACCTATTAATTGGGGGCACGAAATTTTTCGGCCGTGGCAATAGCGCAGCCGACTGACCGAATCAGTCGAGCAATGCATTCACGTCCCTCGTGGCTTCCCAGTAGCAACGGAAGTTTAAAAAAATTCCGCTAAATATAATCTAACCCCCAGGCAAACCGATCTCAAATCAAAGATTGTCGTTCTAAATGGCTCGTGGATTCTGTGCAAGGCAGTGTCACATTCAAATAGGAAGTATAAAATGATACATGGTCAAATACAAGAAGCATAGCTTTATCGAAAACTTCCAAGTATTGATAAATAATTTTTTTTACCGCTTTTGTTGGCCAGTATCAGAAGTAACGCGTATTGAATTAGATACGGTTGCTTTGATAAGTCTTTGTTAACTCGTAGTTAAAAATATTATAAATGGAAGTATAAATAAAATATTGAAATAATGGGTTACTTATTTAGTACAGTATAAGTTTGACTAGGAAAACAGTTTCACTTTCTTACCACGATAAACTTATTTTAAAGCTCCTGTCATTATCGGAAAGGTTATCGTCATTAGGAATCGTTCAAACCTTCTTTGTTATTCGACCGGTCTTCCCTTTTGGTTAGGATAGGATATCTAATCGCTATTTATAACTAGTACACTGGATCGCGTGGTGTGGGATTGAAAGCATACCCGTGAAAATTTCGCGATTTTTTCTCGAAACTGCAGTTTTAAAAAATTACAGGCTAGCATAGAATTCTATAACTTCGTCCGAACTGCCACTGGAGGATCAGACGAATATGATGTTTAGGCATACGGCCAGATAAGCGAATTCACTATAAATGCACGACAGAGGAGACAACAATACTTGGAAACATCTAAGCTAAGAAATGTAGGGCAACAAAGAATTTGCAAATTTTGAAGACCAGCGAAAGAAAAAAATTAAAGGGAGAAGGAATAGTTTACTGTATTTAACTCCTGTTGTTTTATCGTATAATGGTTACACTGTTTTGATGAAGACTATTCAATACCTTTGTAAAATCTAGCCTCGTTTTCAGCTAATTCATCCTCGTTTCCAGAAGGACCAGGCTAGGATGGACCCTGGGAACGAGATTTGCTGTCCCTCCAAATATGGTGACGTCATTTGGATATGCTTGAGTGACTCCTGGCAAAATGATGTCTGCCTATGGCGGGAATAGTATAGCAAGATGAAAATATAGCTGTTTTTTCCAGGGAAAATGCCTTGGAATTATGTTCAATGTGATTTCAAAACCAAGATTGATGTTTAGGCGGCACACGTGCAAGATTTGGTATGGATTCGACAGCGAAAAAAGACAGAAAGAGCGCCGACATTGTCGACGGTAAGACCTCGCCTCCATTTGTCGTTTCGACCATTTGTTTTGTAATTTATGCAAGGATGTGGGATCTTTTAGGCTGCCATAAAAGGCGGGATATTGAACGACTTGTTCTTCTCTCTTAGCTGGCTTATAACTGCAGAGATCTAACCTTATATTCGGCAGATTTTTGCCATATTTAGAATTAATCTTATACTAGTACTAGCACACAATTACTCCCCTCTGTTAGCAAGCTTTGGCGCCCTTGAATTCGTGACTAAACCGCTTCCTTGGGAAAATATATTCACCTACTGATATGTCTGTTTCGTTTTTCGTCATTACAAATTAAGTCAAAGGACATCTTTTTGAAGAATTCTAAACGTGATGGTTATGAAAATACGCAGTACAAAACGTCGATCGGTGCAATTATACGGTGGGTTGAGCACACCGCACGGTTTTGCATGTTTTGGTATTGTTTGTTATCGGGTTTCAAACCATGTGATTTAACTCGGAAGCGAATGTATTATTTATGAGATTTAGTTTTTGCCCCAAAACATTTCCTTTTAGCACAGTAGTGCTTCTAAGAAAACCTGGTGGGTTTATTTTGTGGGAAGATAAACTCAATTTTCTTCTTTTGGTAATGTACATTTGTGACAAAGCTTCACATCTTATTCCGTGTATCGAATTATGTACTTGCGTAATTTTCCGGAGCCAGTAAAATATACGAATTATAACTGATTATGCGGCAATATTTTCAATTGGATGAGTATGTATAGGTTGCATTTAGCCGGTATAACACTCCGTAATGAATTTTTCTATTTTAATACGACTGCAGCCATACTAATCCTGAGGCCTGTTGGTTGAATTAGCATAAAATATTCCAATTTTAACTTCAGTTTCGCTTATTGCGTTGCAGACTGAAATTTTTTCCCAGCGGTGTTAAAAGGTTTTTGAAGTAAATACTTCTGGAAATTGTGATATTTTCAAATTGATTTGTGTTTGGGGATCATGAAGTTTACCTTCACCAGCTGTGTGATTTGTTCAGCAGTGATGATATTGTGCCAAAACATATGCCTGTCTCTGTAAGGTGACCTCATGTAGTTTGGAGGGGGTTCGATACTGTGATCCTGAAACTGCTCTTATCAAGCGATTTCTTCTAACTTGTGTGATAGTATCATGAAGAAATGTCACAGCCTATTAGTTTGAGGGGCTGGATTTTAAATATTGATGTATCTCAGGTCCAAATCCTTTATCTGTTCTTTTTCTTGTTTGTGAAAACAAATTCTTCACAGCATAATTTTAAGAAATATGCATGTTATTTTCTCTATTTGTTGTGAATATTTAGCACAGAGTTGTTATACGCATCAAGACCAAAACAGAAGCATTTCGCTCTGTTATGTTTCCTCCATTTTCTAACAGGCACCAGGCACAATAAACTTATTTATAGTATTGTTAAGTAATTTGAGCAATGTTTCAAAGTTTGTGTCTTTTTTGCTCCTAGACATTGATGTGGATATTGAAAAGAACAAAGCAAGCAAGAAAGCCAAGCAAGGAGAAATAAAGGGGTAATTTTTCACAGACAAAAAAACTTTAAACCTCTTTTGGTTTGTTGCATTGTGTTTGAGCAGCCAGTCATCAAGAGAGAAGACCTTAGATGAAAATTTAGTTCAATTATTGGTGCAGTCATCAAACAAAATCAATTTATCATAACTCTTTCTTTTTTATACAGTTTGCTGAGTTCAGTGATTGCTGATGAGATTAAAGGTGAGTTGTACTTGTATGACTAATACTCACTTCAAAGAGGTAATGTTCCTCAACATGTACCTTAGAGAGCTTGGCCTAAAGTTTTTAAGTTGGTTGAGTACATGGAGAATCAAACCTCTGTTATGTAGTCACCCTCTAGAAAGAACCAGAGATTTGAAATGAATGACTGTTTATTTCTGTCTGTTTGTTATTCTACCCCCATGAAACAATTTTTATTTAAACAGCTGTGTTAGTATGATTTCTTAGACATACTTTTAAATGTACCTATAGGATCCTCTCGTCCTCCTTCTCCTGCCAGCTTTTCACTGGATGGTCGCAAACCTGCAGAGGTAAGAGGTTAAATGTGTAGTTTTACTTAACTCTGCAAGTACTTGTCATTTCCCTGCTGATTATGGTAAGAGGATCTTAGGAGTGATCAATGAAATCAGAAGATTGCAAAGTGAGAGTCTACTTTGTCGTTATGATTTGTAATAATAATTTGTAAAAAGGGAAACTTACTTGGGTGTGACCACACCAAACTGTACTAAATGGTTGAAAAGTGGAGCATGTTCCTTTGAAGACTTATCTTTTTGTAATTTTGCAATGTATTGTTACAGATTTTTCGCACTGATCTGATAAGTGCAATGAAACTGCCAGATCATCAGAATTTAAGTCCAGAGAACTACGTAACCATATCAGATCAATGGAGACAAGAATGGGAGAGAGGTGTACAGGTAATCAAATTATTCAAAATATTTGCTATCTACATGTTGTCGATGTTTTATTTGTATAACCTGGTAGAATGAACTTTT